AGGTTTCATGAGATAAACTATGACAGTTCGTTCCGTTATATATAAGTTCTACTGAATCGCTCTGGTGGTCGCCGGCTGCGCTGAGACTGTCGCAGTCTTGGTACTTGGGGCGCTGGTGCTGTTGAATTTGGTTCCGCTGATCCTGGTCTCAACCGAGGTGTCGGAGCGACAGTTGTTGGTTGCCAGTCATGATGATTGCACATCGCCCTTTCTTTGTTGTTGGTTTTGTTTTGGAGGGGGCTTTTAGGCACAGTCACCTCCGGCTCTGGAACGGTTGCTAGCTTGGAGGCATTCCATACCTTGCCGTCCTCCAGTCGATAGGTCCACCTTCCGACCTGCTGTGTTATGCGCGTGGGAGAACTGAAAGCTGGGCTTCCCTTAGGCACTTTTCCAGGCTTTTTCACTCTGACGAGGTCTCCCACTCTGAAGCGCGGTGTTCTAGCCGCCCGTCTTCCATCGGTATATCTCATGCAGCGGTCTTGTCTCTGCTCTACACGCTCACGCAGTCGCCGCATCTCCTCAAACGGGTTCTTGAGGAACTCTGTGTAGGAGAGACCCAAAATGTGCAGCCTGTGTCTTGGCTTGCGACCGTGGAGCAGAAGAGCAGGAGACAACCCGGTGGTGGCGTGCGGCGTACAGCGGTAGACGAAAAGGTAGTCCAGGACTGCAGCGTGCAGTGCGCGGTTCTCGAGTGCTGCGCACTGTATGTAGGACTTGAGGGTTCTGTTGAATCTTTCCACCTGCCCGTTGGCTTGTGGATGGTAGTTAGAGACAAGCTTGTGTTTGATCCCCCGTTGAGCCAGGAATGTTTTGAATTCCTCAGAAACGAACTGGGGCCCATTGTCGCAGACGAGACTGTCGGGATAGCCCTCGCGCGTAAACACCAGATGTAGAAAATTAGTCACCGTTTTTGTGGTGACGTTAGAGCAGAACTGAACTTCCAGCCATTTAGAGAAGTAATCCACCAACGTGATTACGTAGCGGTATGCCGGCGGCGCTCTCTCAAAAGGTCCTACTATGTCGATGCCGACCTTTGACCACGGGCGATCCGGCAGAGGCACCGGTTGCAGAGGCGTGGTTGCCGTCTTCGCAGACTTGTCGGCTGTCTTGCAGATGTCACAGGCGTGAACTGCCTGCTTCACCTCCGCGTTCATGCGGGGCCACCAGTAAAGTTCGCGAAGGTGAGTTGTCGTCCTGACAATGCCAGCATGACCTTCGTGTGCCCTAGCGATCAGCGCCGCTCGCATGCTTGTTGGGATGACAAACTGCTCACCCCTTAACAGAAGGCCGTCATCCACCGAGAGTGTGTCTTTCTGATCATGGAGAATGACCTCATCTGCGGACAACGCCCTCCAGGGTGGCCACTCAGAGATGATGTAGGTCATTACTGCAGAAAGGAGCGGGTCCGCCGCAGTTTCCTCTTGTAACTGCGCTTTTGTTACGCATTCACTGTCCAGGGAGACAAATGACACAATCTCTTCGTCGAATTGTGTTCCGCCTTCGTCATCTGGCACCGGAAGCCTTGAAAGCGCGTCTGCAACCTGATTTTCACTGCCCCGTTGGTACTCGACTTGGAAGTTGTACTTCAGGAGACGGGTCGACCACCGCGTAATTTTGAGTGGGCGAAGGCCATTTCCTCGGGTGTTTAACAGTGCAACGAGTGCCTGATGGTCTGTCCGCAACTTGAAACGACGACCCCACAGGTACGTGTGCCATCTTTCACACGCCCACAAGCATGCAAGGGCTTCTCTTTCCCCCGCCGAGTACTTGCGCTCTGCCGGGGTCAGCGTACGTGATGCGAAGGCGACCGTCTGGACTTCCGTGCCGTGGAGTTGCTGAAGCACGGCTCCAAGCCCGTACGCCGAAGCATCGGTAGTCACAATGATGGGTAGGTCTGGATTGAACATCCTGAGTGTTTTTGAAGACGAAAGCAACTTCTTCACTCGGGTGAAGCTCTTGTCCGCGGCTTGGTCCCAGATAAAGGGCGTGCCCTTCCGGAGGTACTTGCGCAAAGGTTCTACCTCAGACGCAAGGTGGGGAACGAATCGTGCATAATACTCGACCATGCCCAGGAAGGACCTTAGCTGCGTCAGGTCTGTTGGGATCGGAGCAGCTTGAAGAGCATCCACTTTTTGTTGCAAAGGAGCAATTCCGGCGCCGCTGACTTTATGTCCCAGAAAAGAAAGTTCTGGGGCGCCGAAGACACACTTGTTGTTAAGCTTGAGCCCTGCGTCAGAAATGCGTTGAAGGACCTCCTGCAGACGTTCCAGATGTTCTTGTTGAGTCTTTTCCTCAGCCAGTCTGGTCCGAGCGTTCTGATAGACTGTTCTTTTATTAGATTGAGCTAATAGAAGCAAAGAAAGATGAAGAAGAGAAGTATGATGATAGCATCGAATTATTTACAACAATGCGAAGAAGATGAAGTGGAAATCGAAACTAGGTGAACACAACAGTCTCAAACACAGCTAACCACTTTATTCAGTGCTCCCTCCCTTTGTACATCCCGAACCAAAAATCGTCACCATAAAAAAAAAAAAAAAGAAAAAAAAAAACATTCTAAACATTGGCACGAAGGGGACACGCCTTCACTTTGCAGCCACCCTGGTCTTAAAGGGATACTTCAACAAAATTTGAAATATTCCCGTCGTGTTCAAATATAGGTTGAATATGATCCACAATATCCGTAAATGACAATCGCACGTTTGTATTTTGAGCCTGGTGGCTGTATTTTTCGTTATAAACGGCCCACCTTGGCAAGCGCTCGGAGAAGGCCCAGCGGAGACCACGTGACATCCAACGCAATCGTGACGTAGGTCGTCTCAAGACGAGCAAAGCTACGGCGAGGCTGACGTCGAGAGGATGGCCTAGTCGTTCCAGCCACCGAAGCGGCTGCTTTTGTAAAAATTTTGAGTGACGGGTTAATCTTCTATAATCTTGTAGAGGGACAATAGCGACTTCTGTGACACACAAAAGGCATTCTCGGGAAGAGGGGAGTTCCTCCTGCCCCTCTTCTCTCGTCGTGGCCGGAGGCGAGACAACCTCCGTCACTAGCTGCCAAGGTTGCTAGACGGGCATTACAAGCGAGGCGTTAGCGACATCCACCAGGTGCTCTTTGCTAATCGTTTAATTCGTTTTAAAATTCCGTTTCGTGACTTTTTTAACGAGATATTGGTATGTTCAATTTGATGGTGCTTTTTTGAACACATATAGACCAAAAAATGAGCGCCGAAATTTCGTTGTAGTATCCCTTTAAAGAAAAAAAAAACAATAACGAACCACTTTGATTTGACAAAAGGTACACAGACATCAAAACATCGGCCGTGTGTGCGCGCACGCGTGGGTGTGTGCGTGCGTGTGTGCGTGTGAGCGTGTTTGCGGTTGGTGCCGACAAGACACCACCCGTATTAAGACCGGCAGGGGTGGAGATGTTTGGCTCAGGCAGGCAGCTCGCGCGAACTATTATTGTTAAAAAAAAAAAAAAAAAAAAAACGAAAACGCAAAAAAGAAAAGAAAAAAAAAAGTTAGCAACTCTCTTTTTTTATTCTGATTTTGTTCTTATTTTCCAAAACGAAATTTCGTCTGACGAGGTGGCCGAGTGGTTAAGGCGTTGGACTGCTAATCCAATGGGCTCTGCCCGCGTGGGTTCGAATCCCATCCTCGTCGAAAGTTGGAAACATTTTTTTAAATCTTTTTTTACGCTTTTTTTAGCATTTAATATGCATTCTCGAGTTACCACATCAAATACCGTTTTTTATTATTATTATTTCACCCCGGCTTTCGGCATAAAGCTTGTTGCTTGTGCGTTTCGTACGAGTATTCTCTGGCTGGCCGTAGAGCACTACATAGCTCCTTCGGAGCAGAGTAGCGCAACCTAGAACGCCGCCTCTCGGCGACTAGCGGCGAACGCCCGGAGGTTCCAACTGCGGTCAGAAATGCATGGAGAACGTGAGAAAATCGTTGTTTCTTTAGTGTTGTGGGAATATACGGAATCGCAATCGTTTTTGACATTATAATGGAATACTTTAGAATAATTCGCGCTAAGTTTTGTGCCCCGCAAGGACGTGACTTTTTTTAAAAAATTGTCTGAGCGGCATCATGCAGCAGACGACACGGCGACGTCACACCATTCACGTGACCCGCTCCGGCCAACCCGAAAAGCTTATCTCCGCTGCGAGCAAAAATCGTCTGCTTCAAACGCCATTGCCTTGGAAATTGCCTTCTCAAAATTCGCACACGCATCCGATATTATTAAAACTTTGATAAAATGTTTATTGCTTTACTAACTTCACGACAGACTAGTTTTGAAAAGTGTGAACTCGCCGTTCATTTTTTAATAAGCTGTGTTAAGTCGATCTCCATGTATTCTCCCATAGGGCGGGCCGCCTCCTGGAACCCTGAGTACCACGTGACTCGCGCCGAGCCGCTCTGTCGGCCATGTTGTCGGCAAAACACGAGGTTCAAAGGATTGCGCTACTCTGCTCCGTAGGAGCTCTAGCTGGCCGCAGCTGCGCTGGCTGGGCTGCGATCTAACACGTGTGAACTGCGATTTTGAAAAAAAAAAATGTGGAATCGCGAGGGCCCATTTACACAGTTACGTTTTACTACGCTGCGGTGTGTCGAAATACAAAGTCAGTGTTTATTGGCTTAACCACTGATCGCACATGAGAGCCTGAGCTAGCCAAAGGTCGGAAGTCCGTACAACGAAGCGCTGGCTCCCTCCCTCCTCTGTGTTTATGCACGTGTACACTGCCTAACCGGAACATCCGTGTTTCATCGCACGACGCTACCAAAGCACGAATGTCTCGCAATCGTGTAGTTCGTATCTTTCCATGAAACATAATCAGACGTAAAAAATGCCAAACGCTACGTCAATGTTGACGCAAAAACTCAACCTTGTCCTTGTCGCCATGTAAATACTGGCCAGATGGCGGAATGCGCCGCCCATTCATAATATTTTACTTATTTATTTGTCTACTTAATTATTACAAACCGCCGGAACCGGAACACGTCAGCACGCCAAAATGTCGAACACAACACGCGCAACGCGCGTTTCTGTAGCAAGTTGAATAAAAGAAACAGAAAACGATTGCTTGGTCGCGTGGACTGGCGTGCACAGCGTGCGTGATCCGATTTGTTAGGTTGTTGTGACCCTTTGGTTGGGTAGCGGGACTTTTCGGTTTTTGTTTGTTACTAGCTCGGAAAAATGAAACGTAGGAATCAGGAATATGCTTCAGCGACCCCCAAGTTTGGCGTCGATGTTGCTGGCCTGTCTCGGAAGAAGCGCAGGAAGTTCGAAAGGTCCGAGAAGAAAGTTCGACGACATGCCTTCCATACGAAGAACAAGGTATGCCCATAATTCACACGGATCTTTCTGCAGGATGGCTAACTTAATGTTTGACGGTGGGACCCATGCCTTCCCAGAAAGATTATCTGGTGATCATTTGTCGTGGCAGACAACCCCGTTCAACTAACGGAGATATTTAATCTTTTCTTTTCTTTAATTAGGGTGTCATTCAAAAAGAAATGGAAAGGATCTGTCAGAAACTCAACATCGGTACCAAAACCAGCGAGAGCAAGGCTGTCAAGAAGGTTGAGAAAGCCAAAAAAGAAGAGGTCGTTCTGAAGCAGGCATCCAAGCGTGTAAGTTCATTGGGTGAATACTTTGTTTTCTGAAGACTAAATACTAAATGCTACAGTATGCAATTTCAGTGTGTGTTTTACTATTTTTTTTTTAATTTATCTTGGTAGCGGGTACAGTGAGCCTTTTCTCTGTCATCCAGGTTTTATAAACCGAATAAATAAAGCAAAGCAACCATAAAGACAAGGCTGTGAACTTTTTGAGTGGATGCGTGAACAAGCAAATCACGTAGATTAGCTGGCAGGCATCTTACAAAAGCATACTATGCTCTCCTAAATTACTGTCGAGCAAAGTATGAATTGAGCAAGGGCTTTTTTAGCCTCTGAGGCACAGGCTTCATTTTCTTTTGATCCAGTGGCACATAACAGTGGTAAAAGTTGTTCCATGACAAGTGGATCTCTTTTTGAAATTGAAGATCTTCATAGTTGGGTCAGTGGATGTGTAGGTCCACAAATATATGGTGTAGGTCAACATTCTCACATCTCTCAATAAACAAGTATCTTCTTAGTTGGGTCAGGGTATGTTTTCATATGATAGGTCCACAAATATGTGGTGTGGGTCAGCATTTTCAGACCTCTCGGTCAACAGGTTTCACGGAGAGCTCTCTCGCCTGCATGCAAGCAGGTAATGGGCAGATAACGAACCTAGTGCCACCAGTGGCATCGTTCCTTTGGGCAACGGAGAAGGGCCGTTTTTCAACGACATCCTTTCTAGCAGACTGTATGTTCACCATTAAAACCACAATAAAATCACCTTCCACCGCAAGCTACGTGCATCTAACGTTTCACTAGTTCCGTCACTTTTCTTCATGTGGGCTGGACAATTGGCATAGCGAGCGTCACCAAGCAGATGCGGCCACATAAAGGTGCCAGGCGTTTTAGGAGGCTCGTCAACTGATTTTAATCTTGTAACGATGGTGTAGGGTGCCTATTTTTCAACTGCTCTCTTCGTCATTTTTCTTTTTTTCATTGCATTTCTGAAATATAAATTGATGACTGTTCTTTTGGTGTCTAGGAGCGGGACAAGGTCCGCAAACAGAATTTGCTGAGCGACAACAAACAGGAGGACAAGCTAATTAAACAGCTGGAGAAGAAGCTGTTCCTCAACAAACGGAAGAACAAGAACATGCCCAAATCGTTCATTGACGAAGGGCTCGACTGTATCCTTCAGTACTCAACATTGTTGAAACAAATAATTAACAATATGTAACGTCTCAGTGAGGAAAATATTGTTCGTCCAAGTTAATTTTATTTGTATGGCAAAGTTCATACTCGTGTGATACATTTGTGGCAAACTGCAGATGATCAATTGGGAAAACAAAAAAGGCACAGTGTGAATCGGAAAGGATGAAAGTGATGTAAATGTAATCATTGCAAAATCTTCCTTAAAACGGTGCTTTGTATGGGGCATTGACTAGAAATTAAAAATGGAAAAACAAAGAGCTTTGTGTTTATCCCAGAGACAGTGGTGCTTGGGACAGAACGACCTGGAGCTTGATTTTGAATATATTGATGTTAGCATTAGAGGGGTGAAAAAGGGTAAAGATTGATAGCAAGGTATACAGTTCAACCCACTTTCAACGATACGACATATAACAATGTACCGCTAATAACAATCAGTTTCTAGTCCAGATACAACGCTAATCGGTTATAACGATTAAAATTTCGGGTTTTCTTATTATCATGATAAGTAGGGTGTACTGTATGTCTATTCCTTTCAATAGGGGGAAAGGAAAACACTGCACTCTTTTCTTGAGAGCTTGGAAAACTCTCCAAATCAGTAAAGAAATTTTGATAACATAGTCCAGGGAAAACTTGGGGAAGGTCAGAGAACTTAGAAGCTCCTGTCTGGCTTCACTTATATATAATCAAGTATCGAGTAAAGCATTTTTCCTTAAACTAAAACGAATACAGACATCCTTGAAGTTGTGGACCAGAATTACAAGGAAAATGCCTTGGACAGGGAACAGCAGGACACCGAACTCGGCATCGGGAGTCTCAAACAGAAGAGAAAACTTGAAGACGTCAAAACATCATCTGCCGCAAAACGCCTCAAGGGGGCACCAGAAAGCGACGAAAGCGGCAGTGAGTACAGCGAGGAAGGTCCTTACAGTGACGACGAGTCTAGCACAGTACCAAGGGCAACAAGGAGGCAGAAGGACACCCCTAAAGATGAAGAGGATGACAGCAGTGAGGGCAGCGATGAAGGTGACCTCAGCCTCGGCGACGATGGCGACGACTTTGAAGATACTGATGAGGAGGTTGAGGTTCGGCGGCCAGCCGTCGCGAAAGGCAAGCGTGGAAAGGCGAACCTAGTCGTCGCTGGATCAGACAACGAGGTTTCTGATGATGATGATGATGATGGAGAGGGTGATGAAGACTTGAGCTCAGAAGAGAGCAGTGATGCTGGAAGGCTGAAAGTTGGCAAAGCCAAAAGAATCCAGTCAGGTGGTAAGGGCGACGAAAAGCCCGGTCGAAAGACAACGTCGGTCTCGGGAAAAAAGCATGTTGTTGAGAGTAGTAAGGCAAAAGGCAGGGAAGCGCCAAAGTCGTCGAAAAAGGTTAAGTTTGTGGATGACGGAATAGACGAAGAAACGGATCCCGACGTTTCAGACGAAGAGAGCGCGGAAGGTGAGGATGACGAGTCATGCGACAAGTTGGAAGACGAGACGCCAGCGGGTGTGAAAAAGGCTCCCGCTGCCGCGTTGAAACACAAAGACGGCACGTGGGAAGACATCTATGGAAGACTACGGGACAAGGACGGCAATGTGGTGTCGCAGAAGTACGTCCCACCAGCCAAGAGGCTTCAGTCGGGCCAGCTTGACTCCAAGAAGAAGGAGGAACTTGCCAGGCTGAAGAAGCAGCTCAAGGGACTGCTGAACAGGTGCTGTGGAACCATTGCCATACTGTTCGGCAATGTTATGGGAAACATTGTTTCGCAAAGGATTTTTTCCATGCTTTTCTTCCCTGAAGAGTTATCATGTTGTCTACTAGTCTTTGGGTGCTAAGTGCAGGATTTGGCTTTCAATTCTTGAAAACTAACTATAGTAGGCAGACTGGAGACCCATTTTTTTATGCAGTGTGTTCTCGTCCCCAGGCTTAGTCAGTCGACGGTTCAGCCCATTGGCCTTCAAATTGAAGAACTCTACCGGAAACACAGCAACAATGGTAAGCAATACTGAGTTTTTTTTTAATTACGTAGTCCTGTTAGCATTGTGATTTTAGGTCACTTGGGTTGGTTAGAGCAATTACTGTTTTTTTTACAGACATGAATTCAAGTCTGAACCTTGCACTGTGCGAGTCTATTGTTTCGCCGTTCCTGTCACCGGAGAGGCTAGTCATGGAGCATGCAATGCTGGTTGCCTACCTCCATTGCAACGTGGGCACTGAAGTCGGTGAGTGCATGGGTTGGGAACTCGTGCTCACTCGTAACTTGGGACAGATTAGACTTACGGTCAGTGCACGAGACCGCAGATTCTATCCAGTTAAATTTAAGGTTATTGACCGTCTATTACACAAATGTTTCAGGCATCAGAAACAGCATTACCAACTCAAAAATAACAAACCTGCACAGCAAAAATACTGAAAAACTGCAAAAAGATTTAAAAAGACCTCTTAATATCAGGTGCAGGCCAAAAATGAATTTTTAACTGAATTTACTGCTTCTATAGACCATTCCATTAGTGTCATAGCAAAGAGGGTAAAAGAGAAAAAAAAAATGCACTCCCCCTCTCACCCCTATGTCGTCCGCTCCGCCGAGTGGGCTGTAGCTAGCATCCGGCTGGCATACAAACTCTGTTTAAAATCGCGTCATTTTGGAACTTTCAAGCGCAGATGAGCAGATTTTGGTGTGCCAGTTGTCTTGTGATACTATGCTAGATAAAAAGACAAACAGGGTCCAATTGCGCTCTTACCTGCATGCAAATAAAAGAAAAAATAGAGAAAACTGTGTCAGATTGGCCGGTCTCTTTGGCGAAGAGTAAATCCGGTTGCTGTACCTTTTTTACTATACAAAAGTTTGTACTGGTGTAGGCCTTTAGCGACCATGAGTAGAAGTCTGAAATAATAATTAAAACGTGCTCTCCTGCCGCAATACAAGCAGTAGTTAAGGGTAGTACTGCCGGCGGACTCAAGTGCTATTTAAGTAACGGAAAAAAGATATGCTAGTTGATCATTTAGCAAAATAGAGCAACAGAGAGCTATAGGCTGATTTTGGAGTAGCCACAACTATTCTAAGAACACAAACCACTTCACAACGGCAGCTACAAGCGAGAGTTCGATGTTCGGTAGAGCCCGCCGATACAGCCCAAAGATGGAGAACGGCAACCTCCCAGTTTGTCGTCTGCTAGCGGAGTCGGGCGCGTGCCCTCTCTCTCGGTTTACCCCGCCGAGCCCGCTGAACTTCCCGGATGTGTGGAGAGGGCGCTGCGGTCGAACAAAATGGTGCCGCCCAGAGAGCGCTAGATGGAATGGTCTATAACTTGTCTTTAAAGCAGTATGATAAAAAAAACATAATCCTGAGAAGGCAGCTTTTCTGTTTGACTCATAGAACAATCTCCACCGCATGATGTCACTGTTAACAGGTGTATCTTGCCATACCTGCCAATGGAACCCCCCTCCCCCCTCCCCCCCCCATTGTTCCAAGCTTTTGTGCACTATTTTGTGGAGCTTCACCTATTCAGATGCTTTGCACAAAGATTTATTTTTCAGTAGAGGTATTTTACACGTCTGACGTCACCTGCAACTTCCAGTATCCAGACTCGAAGTTAGTTATTTCACTGGGCCCGTTTCATCTTGCAGACTTAGAGATCAAACTTAAACATGCACTCAAAGTACCTCTTTTGAGGTTTGGCGTTGGCCATTGCGCCGCAAAGACACCGCGACCAGGGGAATGCTACGATTACACGTGCAACAAACAAGGACGCCGCACAGGCGTCCGTGTTTGGCCGAAACAGGGAGGCCGAAACTGGCCGAAACAGGGAGGCCGAAGTGGCCGAACCAAGTCTGAAGTTCTGAACACGCTGAACCAACGTGCGCCACCAAACACACGAACAAAGGCTTTGGGCTTCGAATTGGTTTTGGATCCGTGGCCACCGGATAGATGGATAGTAAAAAACACGACGCTGCTGTGGACGGTACCTATCGCCCTCTTGTGGTGGTGCAAAATAGTGCCAGCAACGGTTTTACAAAAAAAAATATATATAAAACTTTTTTTTCGTAAAATTTAAAGCAAGATTCGTAAAATCGTAAAATTTTTCCCGATTCATGCATTTTACGAAAAATTCCGAATAGTTGGCAGGTATGCTTTCAAGTGTTCGTGAAGTCCGGAATTCCCGTGCTTCGTGCTGTCCACAAAGGGAGAGAAGTTTGAATTCTGTAGCACGTGCACATGTGATGTAAGTAAGCGGTCCGCACGGTGGAAATGCTGAAATTAAGCTGCACATCGTTTCGCTTACCCCCCCCCCCCCGCACCGCGGATGTTTTACGAATTTGAAGGTTCACAGGTTGGCAGGTATGACTCACAAACCAGTCCCAAGCATGTTTCAGTGTTTTCTATCATAATATCTTAATACCATCACAAGGGTTGTTCTCACTGACAACAGTTTTGTTTGAGTAAAAAAGATGATGACCCCATGACTCTAACTTTCCACAGAAATTAAGCTATTTACAATTTACAAATGTAAACTGGAGAACATTTCAGACTGCCAGCCAAAACACTAACATGACTTAAAAACTGCTAAAAAAATCTCAACACTCGTAAAACGGTAATTTCTCTCGCTAAAGAACTTAGAAAACCGCTAAATTTAGCGGGAGAACCGCTAAATTGGCAACGTATGGAAGGATGAACCTGATCTTCTGTTGAATATGGTCGCAGAGCTGCCTCGTCTGGTAACCTGACTACTTTTTTTATTCAAATGATGCAGCTTGTGTGGAATATGTCTTAGTAAACATTGTTTTACAGTGCTGCCTTTTTGTTTATTGGTCATGGATGACTTTTGCTAAATAAATTAAGATTCGGCACGAATTGACGCAAGCTGTTTTCGTGTTCAGGGGCTCAGATTCTGCAGGATATGGCTGAAAAGTTCAACAGCCTCTACGAACAGGGACAGAACAAGGACACTTCAAAAGAGGCAGACAACTGTATCCTGTTCATATCGTACCTGTTCGTGTTCAAGGTAATCTGTTCTTCCTCGAAGTCTCACAGTGTGCTAACGGGATTAGCGTAAAGTGAACACTTGCCAAACATGACTACTAAGCTAGCACCGGTATCCGTGAGAGACTCGCATGTGCAGTTCGACAGGCAAAGCAGTTCCTGCCTTTTTTTTTTTGTTCCACTAGGTGTTTAGATTTATTAACTTTCATTAGCACTGGTTAGGTGCATGTTGTGCCCAGAGCCATAAACAGAGTGGGACAAAAGGAAAACAAATGTGCAAGCAGGGCTGCACGTTAATTAACGGCTGCAGTGCGAGCGGGCTTCAGCCTAGATTCGAGTATTCATTCCCACGACGAAAACAACAAGGTTCAACGTCTGAATTGCCGAACCAAGTTCAAACCAGTTTGGCCAGAGGCAAAGTTGCGAGTGCAGGTGATGATAGCAGCCCTGCAGGCTTTCCAGATTGTGACTTTAGTTGATACAGGGCTTTCAGTGCGCTGCAAAGGCTTAAAATACCTGCTTCAGAGTACAATAGCCATACCTTATTTGTCCAAAAATAGGAGGTAAAGCTGTCAATATTTTGTTTGCATTTTACTACTAAACTCCCTTAACTTTCCGAGCTACAGCTTCTCAGTTACTACTAATCGGCTTTCTGTCTCCAGCAATGCTAGAGCTGCATAATGAAACTTAGCTCGAAACTATGAGGCATGAACACCACTTGGGGACCATCCACCGGGCTAGGTTGAACTGAACGCTTGTAAGCGGCAACAGTGCTCGGCCCGTGCCCAAACAAAGTAATTCCTTGGTTGTCGTGCTGGAAATTCCGATGCACATCTGAACTTTCTCCGCAATATGTCTCCAATGGTGCTACATAAGTCTGTCTTGATTTTCGTATAGTCGCTGCCAGGATGGGATTGGCAGGGGGTCAGGTCAGCGCTGTTCCTAGTGCTGATCTGGACTTTGCAATGCCAGCCTTACAGCAGCCAAGATAGTTGTCATAACAAAATATGATTCATAACGCAATGTGATAATCATTCGCATAATGCAATGTGATCATCATTTGCTGGCTTTCCCGTGTGGCAGGTAGTGCACTCGAGGATTGTGTTTGATCTGATCCGCAAACTGGCCGAGGCCTTCACAGAAAAGGACGTCGAGCTGATCCTGCTCATCTTGCGTTGTGAGTACCGAAAAGTTCGCGTCTCGTATCTGGGCTACATTCGATTCCATGCTGAATTATGCCCGTCTTTTTCTTTTCTCTAGCGGTGGGATTCGTCTTGAGGAAGCGCGATCCGCTTGCGTTGAAGGAAACCGTGCTGCTTCTGCAGCAAAAGAGTGCACAGGATGCCAACACCCAAGAGTACGGCTTACCCTTTGTAGCATGGTTCCTTTCGTTTTGATACTTGTTTCTAGTCCTTTGCGAATCCGTTCGTGTTAAAGGAAGAACCTGGTTTGCACACAGACAAAAAAAGTGACTTTGCCCAAAATGAAATGGTAACCGTACCAGGACTATTCATTTGAGCAATCTGCATACTTCTATATAAAGGTTTGACTGAAAATACAAGCCTTTGCTTGGTATTGGTATGGGTGGGAAAAATGCAACCCAGAAGACAAAAAGAAACATTTTGCGGGACACGTGTGTGGTGTTTGACTGTTTTAGAGATAGTCTCAGTCCAATTGCCATCATATATGGACGAAGGCACGATTCCTTTTGAGTGTTTTTGCGCGAGCTGTTTATTTTCTAAAACGTCTGGGGCCTCCCCGCCCCAAACGTTTCAGATGCCTGGTAGACAACTAGATCATTTATTGTCTGTAGCAGATTGGTAGGGTAGAAAACGAAAAGCGGAAAGGGTGTGTGTCCTTGAGCGTATCCCAATAAGCGAGGTGTTTGGTAGCGAATACTACTTGGCAGGCTTGCTAACAGCCCACTAAGTTTGGTGTGTTTCTGCTCCTCAGCTCGAGAAAGAGGTTCATGATGGACATATTGAATGCTGTCCGGAACAACAACATCCAGAAGATTCCAAACTGTGACCCCTCCATGGTGGAGCACGCCTCCAAGGTCCTCAGGGGACTTTTCCGCAAAGGTCAGTTAGATATAGTTATTCAGGTAAAAAAAGGGCTTCTGAATATTTAGTACTTGTGATACTACTACTATATCACTGTTTTGTTAACTCGGCTGAGCCAACTGGGAACATTCTCTTCGCCAGCCAGCCCCAGAAACGGCGTGCCGGTTGTTCGAAAACCAAAGAAATTGTTCTTTGACGTAATTTGGTAAATGTCATTACTGACTGGTGCGACTAGAAAATTTGCTGTTGGAATGGTTGATGCTTTCCTTGCAAGAGTAGGACAGGCCCTTTTTTAACCTATCTTACTATACCATGGGCAGTGTATCCTGGACGACCTTTCCAAAAATGCCAAGTCTGGCAGCTGGTTGTGTGAAACGGTTCGTCACTGTATGAATGCCCTTTCTAAGTACCTTTTAATGGTTGAAAAAAACAACCAAAAACATGAACTATGATACCATGGACCAACAGCCCGTGGCCCAATTAACCACTTTACTGCTTTTCGATAGATTTCTATTCACTTGGTTGACTGCATCGGTACTCCAACTGCAGTTATGTTTTGACCTCAAACCCTCGTCCATACAGTATGTGAGAAAGGGCTCGAATGCTGTGCTCTGGTCTCCTGTCTGCAGGCTGCTCTCTCCAGGAGCTGAACATCTCTCTCGACGACCTGCTCAAAGCGCATGAGAGGGGCAAGTGGTGGGTTGTTGGTTCGGCGTGGACCGGGAACCAGCAAGATTCATCCGGTATTTGCCCCTTTCTTGTTCCAGTTTTTCATGAATGTAGCAACAGCATAGTACAGAGTGCTTGCCACCACAGTTTATTACATCTTTGCATGAACCTTGACAGATACTGGCTTCATGTGCACACTCAGACATGTGGAGACTGTTGAGTCATGGTGCATTCTTTGTACTTTTTGGATGAGAGTTTATGAACTGTAGATCTTTTAAAGTTGAAATTACAGTCGCCAACTGATTTTTCTGACTTCACCAAAAAAATGTTCAAATAATAGAGCAGTCCGAAAAATCGGCTAATTAAGAAACTTGCTTTTATTACGTCTAAGCGTGCTTAAGTCGTTAATAGTTGCTTGCTTCAGGCTACGCCTCCGCTTGCGTTTGGCCACTTTCTGTTAGCTTGAGAATCGCTGCCTTCGTTTCTAGCGTTATAGTCAAGTACTTTTCGCGCTGTAATTTCTTGATGTAACGAATAAATTTGGATTTCTTGCGCAACCTATGCGCGAGGACTCCCTTCCTCGATTTTACAAAGTTCCCGATTTAACTAAATAATTAGCGGGTCCCGGTGACCTTGCTAAATCGAGGTTCAACTGTAGTGAACAAGTCCGAATTATCTGCATCAAAAAAATCAGTTGGGGTGCTAACCATACACAGGTGTGGACTATACAAGGATTTGTTTTAACACAGAATGTGTTATATGGCTGGCACATAACCATATCCGATGAGGTGCCAGCAACGAAAGTTGACAGGCCAACCGCCAGCCGAACGCTAAAGTAGCACTCGTCCCCTCACTGATTGGACGCCGTGCCAGCCGAACCTCTACCTCGAATGCGTCCGTGTCACTCCCGGCGGGGGTAAAACATCACCTGCTCTAACAGCCATGGAGTTGGGAAGCTTCTTGTGTTATATGGCTGGCACATAACCATATCCGATGAGGTGCCAGCAACGAAAGTTGACAGGCCAACCGCCAGCCGAACGCTAAAGCAGCACTCGTCCCCTCACTGATTGGACGCCGTGCCAGCCGAACCTCTACCTCGAATGCATCCGTGTCACTCCCGGCGGGGGTAAAACATCACCTGCTCTAACAGCCATGGAGTTGGGAAGCTTCTGGAGGTGCCATGACGCCACCGGAGGTGAAGCCGGGGAAGGCTTCCAGTTTGGAAGGACATGCCCCCAACAATGACCAAAACCAAAAGATACTATTGGACGAAAGGGGCAGCTGATTTGGTGCCAACGGCTGTTTTGGTCACCCTTGGGGGCATTCCCACCAACTGCGACCTCCACTTTTGGCTTAACTTGTGATTGTCTCATTTGGCTGGCTTGAGTTGATATGTCGTCGCCTCCTCTTCCTACCTCCATGCGTGCAGCAGTGCTCTGCTTCGTCAAACGAACACACTTCAGGCTTGTTACAGAGAAGGAGTGCAAGAGAGAGTGACAGAAAAGCGTAGAAAAAAAAGCCTCACTACCTTAGACATGCCTCCTTGCCGTAACGGGTTGAGATAGTTAGAGCGTTTCATTCTCTTTTGCCGCAAGCTGGCGCCAGGCGTCTGCTCGGTGCTGTAGAGAATAGATTGAACGGAGAATCAATCTCAAAGCAACGGGGAGCGTTTGCAATTTAATGGCGTACGCCTCCCGCGGAGATGGGTTGCAAGTGCGTTTGCGCACTTGCAACCCATTTCCAGTAGGAAAGCAAGCGGAAAGGTTGAGAGGCTCGCAGACAATCGACGCTTCTGCAACCTCCTCACAGCTCGTGATGGAAACGCGGTGAAAAATTCATGCGACCTCGATCGAAAAGTTTGAAGCTCTCTGTAATTTAGGCTCTGTACGGTGCTCCCGCCACGTTCAGATTGTCCCGTTTTCCGTACGCTCCGTCTACTGCGCTCGCACTGCAACAGGCGCCGAGAAGGTGGCATTCACAGTGCCACTGTAGAAGATGGACCCATAGAAATAAAACAGCGAAGGAGCGCTCACGCGCTCACTGCGCATGATACGGGTGTGCAAGGCCAGCCGTGCACGCGAAGCCTTCGAAGTGTGCTGCTTCCGAGTCCTCAACCGAGCGGATGGGGCACTTGAAGAGGATTCCTCTTCAAGTGCCGTGTGCAGCGGTGTGCACACTAATTCTCAGGCGTCTACTTCTGCTGCCCCTCACACCGTGTCTACGTTAACACGTCGCGTTCTGTGTTACATTCGCCTTTGCCACATGTGTACGGCAAAGGGGCAAGTTTTTATCGAGATTGTTCGTTATGGACAAGACGCGACGGATTTTGTAAGTGGCAGGTTAGGTTAACGATAATTTCTGTATGACACGAGCTTCTTTGTGTGTTAATAAAGCATATTTTTTTTCAGGGTGTGCCACGTACGATAATTTTTTTTTATGTACGTAATATGCGCCAGGTGTAAACCGTCTGAGAAAAAGTGCATAAAAAAAAAAAAAGAGATGACGTGGCTCGTTTAAAGTGCTTGATACGCTGTGGTCTACGTTCAGCTGAAATTATCCATATGCGTGTTGGCAATGCCAGCCATACATTTTTTTCGTGTGCCTCCACCGCTTATGTTTTGGCTGCCATTTACCACTAATGTTAGGTGCAGCCACAATTAAACAGGCTGTAATCACACTCATATCTTCATGCTTAGGGATGTATCTGAAATTGCACTAGGTAAGAAAAACTTGGGACAATAAAGATAAGTACAGTTGTTTACCTATGGTGGCGTAGAGAACTTGCGATATATATAGTCAAGACTGGTCGGTTAGAACGAAATAGCAGCTACAGCGAAGCAATCGAGATTTTTCATTCCTCTTTGCACTTTTACAATGCATTTGTGTCTGTTTTTAGTGAACAAAATTGAGCAGCTCTCGCGAATATAGTGTAGAGAAATTTTGTGATAATTAAAAAAATAATAAAATTCGGAAAGTTCATTAAGTCTCAGACCACCGAACTTTGCTGCCGCGGCCGAGCAGCCACCCAGAACGGGCCACAGACGATGCTGAAAAGGTCGCCAGCGGCAGCCTCTGCATCTTCGTGTGTTCCCCGTTCTTTATCTGGGAAGCAACTTTTCCGCATCGCACACGGAGAAGCCGTCGTGGCATGCCGATAGGGGCGTTCGGAGCGCTAGCGACAACGTACCGGCAGAGATGAAGGAGAGAGCATAGATTTAAGAGAGGGAGCAACTCCAACCATTGAGAACATTTACAATATAATGGTAAACGCCTCCTGGGCAGATTGCCGCAAGTATGCCTGCATTTGGTTGTTGCGTGGCCAGTGTGGTGAGGAAACTGGGTGGAAAGGCGGACACGTTTGCAGAAGAGAAACGTTTTTGAGTTTTGACTCCTTGCATGCTGCAGCTCGTTTTGCAAATGCGGCCCACAAACCACGTGACCCCGATCGAGCAGTTGCCCCCTCTGTTAAATTTAGGCTCCTTATATCGACGAAAGACGAGATAGAGTGCGAGTTAGGGACTCGGTGCTGTGCGTGCTTCTTTGTTTGCTTCGCGTTCCGTGTCGGCATCGCTGGTCGGTGCGGTCGCTCTTGCGCGAAAATCTAACTTTGCTCAAGCACCAATTTGGCGAATCATCGCAACTCAACAATGGAGAGTCCCGGCACCGCCAGCACCTTCACGGGGAAGATGAAGGCAATTTCCTTGAAACGAAAACGTGCCATCCACGACGAAGCACGCATAAACGTAAAGAATGCCATCTACCGCCGGCGTCCTCTGTAGCGGCTGTTGCAGCTGTTGACACAGTCTGTACGTAACTCGTAGGATCTTATCTCACAGTTGGTGAGAAGCGGCTCCAATCTAGCAGAGAGTGCGTGCAGGGAAGCTTCGACCACCTTCTGCAGGCACGATAAACATGTGCCCGTGACGGCCCGTGTTGCGTGGTGCTTTTATGAGTCCAGATATAACGAAGAAGCAGATATAGCGAAGTGATTTCCAATGCCCTTTGACTTCGTTATAACCGGTCTCAACAGTAGCGAGTAATGCAGGAAGCTGTAGAGTCGGGTCAAGGGATGTGTTTCGGAACTCTCCAATATGTTTGTCCGAACAAACCTTTGAATGTGAATAGGTTTTTTCACTATTCTCACTGACATAAAGACTGCTTATGGCTGCAGTCGAAGCAAAAAGTAAACCTGTACTTATTTATAATGCTCCTAATTTCTACACAACTGGCATCAATTGTAGAGCACTGTAAGCAAGCTTGCTTTTTATTTTACTAAAATATCGGCATTTTTGAAGTGTAGGCGGAAAACCTTATGTGCACTTAAGCTAATGCTGGTAGAGGTGACTCCTCATTTAGAAATGCATCGCGTGTGTTTTAACAAATGCTAATGCTTTTTTCATTTTTTTTTTTTTTTTTCTATTTGGACAAAGGTGGGAAGAACAAGGAGGGTTCCAAGCAGCCCGAGTTTTCCAGCACCATCCTCAAGTTGGCACAAAAGCACCACATGAATACAGACATCAGAAAAAACATATTCTGCATCATCATGACAGCGGAAGTAAGGCTTCATTCTGTCCGACCAAACTCGAGTGTTCTCAACAACAGTGTTGTGCAAACTGGGGCTGTTTATATCGGAATTAGCCTTTTAGGAACATAATGCGACAATGGCAATGCTAAAATAGGGCTGCTTTTTTGTTTCTCCAAGAAGTAAGCACTCCCTTCAGCAACACACTTACAATAATTGGTGACCTTTGCTGCTCCTAGTAATTAAAAAACATGGCTATAATGCCAATGACAGTTGTGACGTAATGTCTGTAGCATTGTGCCACATACACCCATATTGTTGATGATTGTCAAAGAAAAGTTGTGTTTGTCACATTTTCATTCCATCATCGTTCCAGCATTCAGTTGTTAGCAAGATTTTTACTTTTTTCTTGCGCTGTTGGGCAGATCAATTAATGCTGCAAGAATAAGTTGCCATGGCTCTAGGTCAGGGCTGTAGGAACCAGTGCAGATGTTTCAGTGGGAACCTGAGTCAGTGTAGATAGAACCAGTTCCAATGCAGTAGGAACCTGTGCCTCTGTTGATGAACCAGCACCAGCGGAGATGTTTCAGTGGAAACAAGTGGCGTAACAGGGGAGAAGCCTCCCCCCCCCCCCCCCCCCCTTCAAAATCCAGCTGAACTTTTAATTTACACATGCATTTTGATGCCTCTTCCCCCCTCCACACCCCAAGTCATGGACATCTCGGCCACCTCAGCCCCCCTTCCCCCGAAAACAATTCCTGGCTATGCCACTGGTGGGAACCAATGCCAGTGCAGATGCAGGTGGAGCCTGCGCCTAGTGGGGGTGAACGAGCACCAATGGGGACGCTTCAGTGGGAACCGGCGCCAGTGGGGATGTTTCAGTAGGAACCAATGCCAGTGCAGAGGGAACCAGTACCAGTACAGTAGTCGCCTGTGTCTAGTAAAGTGAACCAGTGCCACCGGGGATGTTTAAGCGGTATCCAGTGCCAGTGTAGATGTATCTGTGGGAACCACTGCCAATAAAGATGTTCCAGTGGGGACCAGCGCATAGTGGAAACCAGTGCTGGTGTGGATGCTTCGGTGGGAACCAGCACAATGGAAAGGTTTCTTGTGCAGGACTACCTGGATGCCAGTGAGAGGATTCTGCGCCTAAACCTGAGCCCCACGCAGGAGCGTGAGGTGTGTCACGTGCTGCTCCACTGTGCCCTCAAGGAAAAGCGGCACAACCCTTACTATGCCTACCTGGCACAGTTCTTCGTGAAGCGGGACCGGCGCTTTCACGTGCGTCCCATTTTCACTCTTGTTGTTTACCGATTGAATGTTCATGCTTGAGGATTCGTGCTTCCATAATTTAATGCTCAAATGCCGAGCTATGCAAGTGGTATTCTGAATTAGTGTGCACTATTTTATTCACAAGTACTACTTCTACATACTGAATTCAGAACTTTGGTGTATTCGGTTGATCTGGCACATCAAGTTTCACAGAAAAGTTTACAGTTCTTCTTTGCTCACTTGTTCTAACAATGCATTGGGTGTTCTAAGCATGCATTTTATGTTCCATCTCAATTTGTTGCTCAGTAGTTAAATTCATACAATTGCACAATGTGTGAAATATATGCGAGGCAGGCTGCTGCTATTTATAGGGATGCAAGGCTCAGAAGTCATTGGAGTTTGAAACCTTGCCTTCAATTAATTTCTGCAACCGCAAGTACAGTAAACTTCCCTTAATTCTACCTCGACGAAACCTTAAAATTTGGTCGAATTATCCGAATGATCGAATTAAAAAAAGGACAGAAAAATGGTTGAAATTGAACTTCCTTTTATTGTCCAAAGTACTCACGGATGGATGGTCTGCTGCCGTCTGCTCTTAAAATGCGTGTCCAAAGGCATGTCCCGGAGAGCAACGTAACTAAACGTCATGTTCCCAAAAAATCTCACACTAAAAAGAAAAAAAAAAAGTGTTACGAGCTGACTTTGGCGCAGGGCAGCCAGACCATCGGCGACAGAGAAAAATAACAAAAAAAAAAAAGAAAGAAGAAAGAACCCGCGCTTTCCGGCGCGCAAGATGGACCGCACATGATGCTACAGAAAAGCGCTCTGAAAGCGCGTGCAGAGAATGCTCTACGAGCCGACTTTGGTGCCGGGCGGCCAGACCTTCGGCGACAGAAAAATAACAACAAACGAAAAATATGAAAAAAGATCCCACGCTTTCCGGCGCGCGAGATGGACAGCAAGCGATGCTACACAAAGCGCTTTGATAGCGCTCGCTGTCTCCACGTCCGACCACGTGCTATGTTCTCCGCACTACTCCACGCCAGATTGGTTGCGCTGGCTCGTGTCATTCGCTACGGTCCATCTCAACAGCGTAGAGAAGCAAATGCATATTTGCAGACGTTTGGTTTTGCAGCAAAGGGCCCGTGTTTCGCCGTACGTTAGTGGTTTTTCTGCCGTGGTGCCGTGCAAAGTGAGACTGCGCGCGTTCACCCGGGACAAAATATCCGATGCGGAGTCTTCCCGAGCTCTAACTATCAAACTTTTCCTCCCATAGAAATGTATGGGCGCTCGCCGGGACTTTTGAACACAATCGAATTAAACGAAAAGCCGAATTAACCGAGGTCGAACTAACGAAAGTTTACTGTACCACCGACTCTACACGTCTATCATTTGATGAGTACACAGTTCTGGGGACTGGATTTACGAGATGCAGTTGCTTGTCCATATTGTGCACTCCTCTTGAAATGTATGTGAGTTTTGTCCGAAATGTTCAGGCATAACCACTGAGGAGTTCCTAATACTTCATGTATCACAATTTTCTTTTAGTGCTGATAAGCAGTCGTGCTAGAAAGAATTGCGTCGGCCCACGAAGAGTTTTTTTGTTAGCCCTTTCCATCCTTCACTGCATTCTGGAGCTGATAGCCTTCCAGTCAAGTCTTTGACAAAAATAATTTGTTTAGCATTTGTTGACGTGTACATGGCAGCATACTTCGTTGTGACGTTCCTTCATTAGAATGTCGATCTACTATCTACGTGTGAAGATTTGATAACTGGGCTTGTTACCCTTGATGTGCTCTAGAACTGCCTTGTAAATTAGCCTATCCTTAGAGGCGTCTCTCAGGTGTTTACGATACTTATCCTTTCGGCTGTTTTCAGATGACCTTGCAGTGTGCACTTTGGGACAAGTTCAAGGAAGTGGACAAGTTGTCACCAACGGAGTCTTCGAACTTGGCCGAGTTCATTGTGGCTCTGCTTTCGCAGGAAGCGCTCTCGCTCTCTGTTCTCAAGGTGAGGTTCTCACCTTGAGAACAGCGCTCTCGCTCTCTGTTCTCAAGGTTTATCAACTTAGTTGATAAACCGAATCCTCTAGAGGGACGCAAAGTTAAGGACACATATGCCAAATAATAACCCCCCCCCCCCCCCCCTCAAAAAAAAAAAAAAAAAGATTAGTGGAATTTTTTTGTTGAGAGTTTCATTTTGAGTTAGGGGCAATTGCTAAGTATTCTTCTATTTTACAGTCAATGTCTCGAAGTAAAGGCATGTTTCGAAATCGCTCCCAACTGAAAATGCGCCTCGCAGTATAAATATCTTCTTTGTTGCAATTAACGTTGGAAACTGACAATCACTCTCATTGCCTTGGCCGCAGACCGCTGCACCGCACGATGTTGGCGGCGCAAGCAACACTTGGGAGTTCCTTCGCATTCTGCTCAGGCGTATCGACAAACGTGGAGTCTTATGGCCCAAGTTGTTATCCCGTACGAGCGCCTCTCAGCACGCTACCTAGTAATTTTGATGATAGCGCTACAGCTGTTAGGCGGAACGCAGGAAAAGCGGACGATCGCTCGTTGCTGCTAACTGTTTCGTGTCCTGTTCACAAACTTAGTCTTGGCTGCAGACAGCTACACAAACTAAAGGTTGGTCCACTGCTTACAATGTGGGAACATACCGGCACACTGGCGCCCTCTTTCAGGCAGTCCTGGAGCGTTTTCGACCTGCATACATATTTTTATAATATCCTTTTTGTTGTTGTTTTTTCGGATCTTTCTTTTACTGGTGGCTCGAAATAATCCCGACAAAATTAAAAGCGACCATTTCTCGTGGATACCGTAGTGTGTAGACTCACTCAGATATGCAAAACATTAGGTCTAGTTATACGTAATTCCAGGGCTACCCCATTGGTGGTGCCAGTTTGCTCTCTCGTTGCAAGTGGCTATGACAAGATTGACAACCCTCACAGTACAACTGGGCGACCCCCAGACGAGAACTACGACAAAGAAAGCTGATCGTGGACTCACTCCTCGACCACGTCAGGCAATGTGGAGCACAAGTTCGTCTGCTTCTTGCGCAGGGGTTGTGGCGATGCCGGGACGCCGAGCTCCGATTGGCTCCGATTGGAAGGATGCTGGGTAGACGTCAAGGCAGCTAGCATCGAGGTCTACCTACTGTCCTTCCAGTCAGACTCAATTGGAACTCGGCGTTCTGACGTCACTGCAACCCCCGCGCAGGAAGCGGGCAAACTTGCACTCCGCATACATCTAATATCATCCCACCGCCCCATCCAACCTCCCATTTCCCATTCCCGCCAGATAAGACGACTATAGTCCGTTGCAACTCAAGAAGGTAGGGCGAGGGAAAGGAAGGCTGTGGAGGAGGAAGCTGGAGAAAGGAGGTTTCCCCTTCTCCTCTTCAGAGTTCCGTCTGCTTCCTCCTCTCTGGCCTTCCTTTCCCTGAACCTACCTTTTCGAGTTGCAACAAGCTACGTTGGTTTGCCTTTCCTCTTAATGAACATGCTCTACCACTGCTAGCCTCAAGTCTACCATTTTGTACCCGAGCCTAATCCAGTTGTTTTTTCTGGTCCCCGCAGACCGTCCACTTCGTCGACATGAGTCCGGCACTGCTGAGGTTCCTGAGGCAGCTGTTTGTGAGCCTGTTTGTCGGCCGCTCGGAGGCAGTCTGCGAGAAGGTGTTCCTCAAGGTCGCAGAGGTTCCCAAACTGCACCTGCTTCGCGAAGGAGTGCGCCTCTTCCTGAGGCACTTCTTTCTTCGCGACGCCGATCAAGTCGACCCCTCGCTGCGCGCCACCTTAGAAGAGCGCGTGGCCACTGCCGAAGACGTCCTGAGCCTCGGTGACAAGAAGGCCGTTCTTTGAGCACCGCATTTCGTCGGCCGGGATTTGTCGCACGGCGTTGTACAGTTTTAAAATGAAGGGTGGCTCAGCCGTACGTTTAAAAAATATTTTAATAGCTCCAGCAGGGCTTCTTCACTGTTGCAAAACTTGCACTACGTTGTGAAGTGGTGCAGGCGGTAATTAGTTGTGTACATTCTCTTTCATTATATTTTTTTTTTTTTGTCTAAAGATTCTTTTAGTTATGCACTCGAGGTTTCTTGTGCATTTAAAGTGCTAAGTAGAAAGATTTGTTATTGGGTTTATTAGGTCAATTTATACTTCTTGGTTAATATTAATGTGTGTTGTATGGAACTCATAAGTTTGAAACAATGTGCCAAACAAACATTATGTTGCACATGTTCCTCAAAAGTAATATATTTGTGTACAACTAGAAAGATGCCAGGATTCCACGATTGAAAGCAAAATTGATGCAAAGTATATTTTGCACGAGCGGAACAAGAATGTATGTTTTGAATCGGTGCAACAAAATTGATAAAACGGTAAAATTCGACTTATAACACAGGCACATAATTTAATGGCTCAATCTTGCCTCATCATACTCCTTTGACACAAGAAAACAAGGGCATTGTAATAAGTATACTGGCAGATGCTTCTCATGCCATCCATTGTGTAGGATGGCCGTTCCTCTGTCTCAGAGGAACAGAGTAATAAAACAAATCTTCACAACTTTGTTTTTACATGGAGGTTCAGGTGGCGACGGCGGCAACGGCAGTCACAAGTAGTTTTTACCCTAAAAGCACTTGTACTTGGCTATGAAAGCTTACCAACCTATTGAGGTCATTCGCTGTTTTCTTCAAACGTGGGCTTGAGAATGATCTTGGAAGCACATCGGGCAAATCCAGTGCAAACGCTCATCTGCACTTTGACAACCTTCCAGAGGGCAATACTTAGTAGCTGTTTTACAATAGCATGTCGCCCTTTGAAGATGCCTGGGGATTTTCAATATCGTCCACGTCCAAAAATAAGCTAGAAGTCTAGCTTCGACCAAATGTGCAAACCCAGCTCGCAAAGAAAAGAAAAAAAAAATGTTTCCAGCAATTTTTTTTACGCTTCCACCATGTCACTTTTATGCGCCGACTGAAAGACGGTCTTATCGTCCAAAAAGCACTTTGCTTTGATATGCAACACTGATTCTACGCTGCAATGCATGAAATCAAGACTGTTTCAGCTCATGACATCTACAACAGTGCATAAACATAGCGAAGCAACTAGCCCATTGGATGTGAGCTGGCAGAGTTACACGCTTTTAAAGATTACTTGCACGGTTGCCACGTAAAATCTATGGTATGAGCTGTCTCTTGCACGAATTCTCTATGTTTGGCCACACTTCGTCATCTCGTGAACATGTGCAAAACCACATTTTCAGTGTGTGCTTCCTGTCTTAACTAGTAGCGTTTTCTGCTTCCTAATTATGCCGTGGATTATATCTTGATCTCGTGCCACAACCCTTGTATGAATGCAAGCTTGCCATTTGTTGTGTCTCTGTGCAGCATGCACCATGATAGAGACATCACCGTGTATAAAAGAAGGTTAAAACTGATTGCAAAGTAACACGAAAGTGCTGTTGTTAAATATTGTGACTTCCAAATCACAAATGAAGACAAAGAATGGGTTGGTGAAATACAAGAATCAATGAAAATACAAAAAATGAAAGAACTGCACTGTGTGTCCTTGTACCGAAATGTTTTTATTCTTTCCTTGATTCTTGCACAAATGAAGCTTGCACAAAGCCTCTAAGTGTGACTTATGTTCACCTCAGTATTTTTCATTTCTTTGCAACTGCAACATCAATGTGTTCACCATGTGAGCACTGTATAATGAACCAGTCTGTACAACAACTTCAGTAAGTTTTAGTGATCACATTTATTTTCCGTCGCACACACACATAAAAACTGGCACACACGGGAAAAATATGACAAGAGGACGTGAAAACCTCGTCAAAAGTTCTAACCGTCAAAGATGGCACTGATACTCTCAAAGCAGTGAAAAATTGCCTTCATCTTTCGTCCAAAAAACTGTTTGTGTGTCTTTTTTTTCAGTACTGCATGATATGAACCACAGTCACCTCTGAAACATGGAAAACAGTAGTTTGCCCTTGTTTACATCATACTAACTACATTCACTGGAATGTTTCTTTAAAAAAAATGTAGCATTTTGTGGCTGAGTTACAACCAACCACTGTAAGCCTCCCAATCTGAGTCCATCCCCTACTGCTGTCTGGCTGCACCCTTGCAAGGGCACACCAACTATATGCCAATAAACATTACAGTGCAGCAGCAAACACACACACATCCTATTACTCCAAGATAAACATTGATTATTACTCCACACAGATGCCTGCGTCAAGTACCGTCAGCAAACACTAATAGATGGGAGTAATATTTATAGCGTGGAAAGCTAAATATAAGGCCTCTAAAACATAGCTACCACATATAAAATGTACACATAAAATATGTAAAACAGCAGCGTGAAATTTCAATTAAACACAAACATTGAAAACCTCAGTTATACTCTAGCATGTTACAAGGCTGTACACCGATCGCAAACTCTGCACACTCGCGGAACAGAGCCAACAGGTGTCTTGTTGGGTATTACAAACGAAAACTTGCACCAGCAAATGCTACATTCTGACAGGCAGTTCCAATGCTAAAAATAGTTCTCCAACTGGTCCGGTCAATACCAACCTCCCTTAGTAAAAATGGCTTGGAAGTCCCTAGAGGCACTTGAGAATCTAAAGTGTAAAAATTATGTTTTTGTGCCTTCGACGGACGGATTGCAAGGTTGTGACAAAAACGCAGGAATGCAGTTAGGTTTCTTCTTGTCGACTGCGACGAGCGATGCGTCCCACAGATATCCGTTGTGGAAAACCCTTGGTTACTATAAAAAAGTTCATTTACAAATTCCCCCACTCTTGAATGACGAGTGGCAACCGCACCAAGCCAACCTGCTCCCTGCTTTCCGACCAGTCTGCGGCGTCAGGCCCAGTTGTTGGATCTTTTAGTGTAAGCCTCGTCCATCGTGTCCCCTTTCTCGTAAAATGCGAAACAGGCGACGAAGAACGAAGGGAACGGAGTGTCCAACTAACACCTTCGTGTACAAACTTGAATCCAACACCAGACGGCGCTCGCCGCTAACCCAAGCCAGAAAATCACAACCGTCTCGAGTCTCCCAAGAAAACAAAAACCATCTCTTCGTCGCTCTATGACCGGCCGATTCCGTTCACAATGCGGAGAAAAACCGTAAGGTGCCGGGGAATGATTCTCGAAGCAGCTGGCAACCCCGGTGCAGCAACACCCCGTCACAGCTCCGTCGTCATGACAGTGCGCCTCTCCACCTGGCGCTTTGGCGTCACAACGGCATCGGCAGTACCGCCTACATGCCAAGGCGAGAGCTGGCTCGAGTTGCAGTTGGACATGGTCCTCTTCACCACCACCGGGGCCGCCACACCGCCGTTGACGCTTCGCTGGGGCGTTGCGGAAGACAGGGAGCGGGTCACAGGGTTGGCGCCGGCGAACGAAGTCTCCTGTTGAGAGAACAATCGGATCGAGAGATTTACCTGCCAGGGCTCCGAAGCACGATGAGCATCTATTTGGAACACAAGTTTGTCTGCATCTTGCACAGGGGTTGCGGTGATGTCAGAACGCCGAGCTCTTATTGGCCGACTGAAAAAAATGGTAGGTAGACCTCAAGGCATCTAGCATTGAGGTCTACTAATATCTTTTTAATCAAAGCCATTCGGAGCTCGGCGTCGTTCTGACGTCACTGCAACTCCTGCGCAAGAAGCAGACGACTTGCTCTCCGCATAGGTTGCTATCAATGCTGGGACTCTCTAAAACTGGCCGGAAAAAATCGGCACCTGTTGGTAGCCTCTCAGATTTTCACAAAAATTTTCATTAATGTAAGGAGGCAATGCTCTCTATCGAAAGCAGACGCTGTTGTCTCCTCGCTGTGCCTGTCGGCGGATGGCACCACAAGCACGACCCTCGGTCGCTTGTGTCCGCCGCTGACCATGTCGAGGGGTGTCGCCCTTATTTTCCGCAGGAGGGGAAGTATGTCTTATAATTTCACAGGGTGAAATCCACCTTTGACGAAAACTTCAGACTCGCATGCAGGCGTAAATTTTTCCGGCCACGTTTGGAGCGAGCCCCAGTATTGATAACGCCCCATAGTTTAAATGTGGCACTCTAAAGGTCTGTTCACGCTTACACCACAGTGCAAACTCTGCGCAATTAGTCGGCAGTGACTTTGCACTATATTAGTGAGCACTGCACCAGTGCTAAGTTACATTTAAGTTGTAAATGTCTCTAGTAGCTCATAGTCTCTTATCAATGTAAGACTCCTCGGCACATAAATTCAGTTAGCCTGAAAAAGAATAAGTATTTCAGCTGGTGGGCTGTCAAACATAGTCCTGGGAATGGTGGTTGTACTTGTCTAACATGGCTAACTGCTTGCATCGGTCTTCGTAACAAAGATGGCATTATTTACGTAATTCAACTGTATTGTTGCATACTTTTTAGACCTCAAGAGCTCTGGGGACACTTTAAATCATGCTATAGACGTCGCTCAACAGATGATTGTCGATAGGCATCACTATAATTTCCAACGCTGTCCTGACCGGGCATGCACGTGTATGTTCCCAACAGAGCGGGCAAAAATCCTAAATATGATGGAACTGCAATCAAGGCTATGACAAAACCAAGGTAGAACACAAAGAGAGCGTTCTGCTGGCGATGGGAGATGTACTCTTTGTTTCACCAGTAGAAACCTTCCTTCTTTGAAAAGCGCACATGTTACGGAGGCTAACTCTCCGACGAACCAAAAATGGGTGTCAGAGTACACCAACTTTCAGAAGTAATAGCCGTGGGTGCGGGGCACATTTTGTATACCGTATCCAAAATTATTTTTTATTTGTCCTTTAATTTGACATACCGTCAAATACCGGGCAAGTGCCCACTCAAAATTGAGAGATAATCGCGAAAAAATGGGGGATGGGTGCTTGTCCAGTCATCAATTTTACGTATAAATGTACTGTGCATATTTTTTCATATCTTAGAAATTTGGATATGGGCGCTTAATGTGGAATGGGCGGATGCGCAGTATTCTATGGTAGCTGTAGAAGTTTTGGCGTTTATACACCTTCTGCACAGACTTTGTATTTTCAAAAATAAAATTTTAAAATCTTTTTCTTACTTAGCCTGTTTCTTTTGAAAGGACAACTATTTCGCTACATTTTGATGTGTCATACTGCCCCATATGCAAATAGTTGAGAAAATTAAAGCGTTTTCATGGATCCTTTGAAGATTGCTACTTTTCCCATGGTCAGGAGAGAACTAAGAAGCAGTGCTTCCAAAATTGCCATATGCAATGAATAGCCGAGATGAAGAGAAACAAGTTTCTCTCTTCACATTGATTGCACACCAGAAGCTTCATTGGCATTTTGTGTGGGCAGCCCAAAAGCACGAAATTTGGCTAGGGAGGCTGGGTGTTCTAACAAGTTTTAAGGGAGGACATTACCCAAAAGGGTCAACTTTTGAACCTTTGGCTTAATATAAATGAAATTCACAGTATATACTGGCAGTTGCGAGGCAGAATGTAGTGCAAAGTTTCATCTGTGTACATAAGTTGTGAAATAAATTATAGTGGTTTCTATCAGGACCACACTGACATTGTTTGGGAAAACTATAGTTAAAAATGTAATACCCAAAATTTTTCTTCACTAAATTATGCAGCAGAATGCTTGGAGAGTTAAGCTGTGAAAACAAAATTTCCAAAAAGTAATTTATTTAATGCTAACATTGCGCTGAAAAATCAAATAAATTTCTTGCCTTTTATGTTGTCGACAAAATCTTATCTTTTATAAAAAAGACATCCACAAAGTAAAAAAAGCAATGTCACAGCTGCACTGCCCATTAAATTCCACTTAAGAAAAACAATGAGTGAGCCTTTCCTTTTGCCCGTTGCCAAACAATAGTTTTCATGAAGTGAAATTGATGCCAAAATGCGGAACGGAGAAAAACATTATAAAAATAACCATACAGAGTAAACAAATGAAACTTTCTTAGAATACTCTCTAGGTGTTGGTGGATGTAAATATAACATTCTGAAGTACCAATATTTTTGCAAAAATTATTTTTTCTGGAGAGTGTCCCCCCTCAACTACTACATTTTTATTTTGTAGCTTTTTGTTGCAATAAAAAAAACACATCAGGCTAACAGTGCAAAAGGGGGAGAGAGGAAAGGGGACAGTAAAGAAGAAGGTGGTAAGGAAAGCCCTTTCTGCTGTCCATTTTTTCAGGGTAGAACAAGTGCTGTGGACAAAGTACAAGAATGCATCCCAAGAGGCTAGAGGGCATGTAGTAAAGTCATTAAATACAGTGTCGCTCTTCAGGTAGGGAATTACAAGAGGAAGTAAATGACAACCCTGGTGCAGGTTGTGTCGCACTGCCGAGATTTACTTAGACTCCGAACTCAAAAGGCACTTTCTGCTTTCAAAAAGTGTCAATAAAAAAATTAAACTACCGAAGCATTTACCATTAGCCAAAGAATAAACTTAAATTATTATAAGCATGAAATAAATGTATCACACTCAGCTGTTCGCAATGCCCTTAGCTTTCCCAGCCTAGGTGGTAAGCAAGCTATAGCTTCCATTCGCATGGCCGGCACACAAACACTTCACGAGCCTCGAAGCTCGGGCAACAAGCCGGAGAGTTTCACCCTGATCAAACCTCACGAAATTGGACCGCTAAGGCGGACAGCATATATTTAAATGCATCTTCATCTTAGGAATAAAGCTGGGAGATGCAGAATGTGCCGTCTATAGAGCTTCGTGGGTCAATTGTCAATATGGTTACCCGACCGCTTACGCGTCTCACTCCCACTGGCTGGCGTCGCGATCACGTGCCGTCATCTCGCTGGTCGACGTCACTCCCACTGGATGACATTGCACGACCACGTCACGCTGAAGATGTGACCACCGTCGCTCTGACGACCTCATGTAACAACCGCCTGCTAAATTTGGCAAGGGACGCCTTGCCCGTCAAATTTAGCGGATCATTGTTTGTGCGACGGTTCTTGTGACGCTCTTCTATAACATTACGCTCCTCTCATGAAAACCAGCCATATAGTCGTGTCTCATTAATATCGACCCCGTTAATGTAGATGCCCCGCTATATAAATTAAGGGCAAACTTTAAGGGCAAACTGGGTAAATATGTGCATTTTTGTCTCAATTTAAACAACCCGCATTATAGACGCTTTCTGGGGGGAACGGAGGTGTGCGTATTAATGAGACATCACTGTATCGTGTTCTGCGTTAAAACAGCTAGCCTCTGTCCTCTCCCCACAGCACTGGGCTTCCCCTTTGATCTCTCGGGTTAGAGCGCGCTGCTGCTGCCGCTGCCGCTTGCAACTTACGGTGAGTACCACCCCATCCGTGCCCCTCTTGGGGCTTTCCCCACCACCCGGGGGGGCCAGCGGGGTCAGCAATTTGCCAGCGGGTGTGGGGAAGGGGGGATCCGGCGTCTCCCCACGGGGAAGTTCCGGAGTGGCGACGGCGACGGCGGCGGGGGCCTCGACCGGGGCCGCCTCTTCGTCCTCGCTGTCAAACTGAATGAGCAGCTCGGACGGTTGGGGGGGGCTGAGGGCGGGGATGATGTGGCGCGGGCTGGGGACGGGGCTGACGGCTTCCGCCGCGGCACTCCCGCTGATGCCGCCAGGGGAGGCGGATGCGCTCTGTCGGGAGTGGGCATTCCCCCCCACCACACCTCTAACTCTCTCCTTTTCCAACCTCCTCTTTTCAGCGGGATTCGAGTTTGCACCTTTCCAACACTGCCTACGGTCTGTTCCAGGTTAAGAAAAGGCGGGGCAGGCTCCCCTCGCAAAGCCCTCCACTTTAGCAGAGTGAACGCTGGAGAGGAGGAAATCCCCCAATCGTGGCGAGTAGAGAGCCTTCTGGGAGCGGCTTTTCCCGCTTTTCTTAACTTGCAACGGACTATAGATAAAGAGCCATAGTGCTTAATTTTCTATGTCGCCTACTAAAGGCCAGTGCTGGGTACATATTGAACACGAGGGCTATGCCATTGTTCAGCTGGAGCTAGATCGGTCAGAACGAGAGTTGCAGTCAAACGCCGACGCAGCGCTCGTGTCCAACATGTGACCCGCGTTGGCCGTCAGTAGGCGACGCAGAAAATTCAACACTATGGCTTCCTACCTAGGTGAGGTTGGTCTTCCCCTCTCTTCTTCAACGCCATCACAATGGGGCGATTCTCGTCGCCCTTTACGACGGGAAGTCAGGAACAGCGTTGCTCGGACGCACCGCGTAAATTTGTTTGTCGAGGCAGGACGCTTCAGTTTGTTAGAAGACAAGCCCTTGACTGGTAGGCACGTGGTTCGGGTAAAAGTGGGAAGAAATCATTTTGCCCTGGGTGCAAAAAGATACCTTTTTTGTCGATCTGGGAAGGCTCTTGGAGCACAAAAGATAACCTTTGAAAAGGAATACAGCTTACTGAGAAAGCAAAGTGCACAAGGCAACTGGGGGGGAGGTGTTTGTGGCTTCGTAAGGAATATTCGAGTGCGTCCAGACAATCACCAACTTATCACTCTAAAAGACCAACCGCATTATACCACTGTTTTAATAACGGCGTAGTAAATGTTGCGACCTCGACTGCTCCATTGTACACAACGCATTTACGGCGTAGTAAATGTGTTGTGTACAATGGAGCAGTCGAGGTCGCAACATTTATGGCATGTCAAAAGGCCTTTTTATATCAGCAAATGCTGCATACTTGCATTATATAATGTTAATGCTGGTTCAATTAACAAAAATATGCGGTATTTCACAAAGCAGTTTTGGGTCAGGGAAACACAAGCACAGATTAGCTAAACATTTACAAAGCTTTGTGTTAGTGGCAACTGTCTTTAAGACAAGTAGCCAGCATCATGGTGAGATAAGCTCCACTCAATAAAACAGCGATGAAAGAAGCGAAGACATTACTAAACTAAATCAGCATTGTTTGCATCTTTTTTTTTTTTGTCCGCAAGTTGGGGCGTTCACACAATGCAAGATTCGTGACAAAGAATGATGTCTACGACATTCCCGAACACAAAAGGGCTCGATAACCCACGATGAGCTGTGCCTCCATGGGAACGATGACACACGCTTACACAAATGGAAATTGGAGTACCTCTCTGCGAGACAATCAACAATCGGAGCCAAAGAAACAATGAAACTTACAATGGCTGCGATCAGGTCTGGCCCATACCCATTGTTGATGGCACTGTGGACTGCAGAATCCTTTGTCGGAAGCATGTCACTGCATCCAAATGTCAATACTGCCATCAATCACCAGTAAGAGAGAAAGGAACACGCGTCAAAAGTTCCCACGGACAAGCTCCTGCATATTTTGGAGTGCATGCCGAATTGCTGGAAGCACTTTGTCATAGCAGTTTAGGTGCCATAAAGGCAGTACTTCTCTCCACTGATAAGGTTTATACAAATTAAAACCATACTGCAACAGACTCCACAGGTGCTGAAACTGACTTTTGTCCTATGTCTGCATCCATGCGAGAAGCATTCATATCACTAAAAAACCTACTGCTTGATTATTTAAAAAATGACACCCTGAAAGCAGTTTTTGGGGAGATCTTTGCAGCTCCGCTGAAGTGTGAAAGGTTGCTACGACTTTGCGAATTTGTTTGCTGCATTGTTATGACGATGGGTAAACAGCAGACTACTGCTTGTGTGGACTGCTTTATTTCTCTTTCATAGTTATTTTATCTCTTTTTATATCTGTTCCCGAGTGTCTTTTGTTATAACTCTACTGTAATGTGCTTCGTAGAATAATGCCCTATGGGCAAAATGTGTGAATATGAACAAATGAAATGAAACACAGATACGATCAGAAACAAACAATGTAAGGATTCCAATCTGCTCTGCTTACCAAGTTCTTATTTTCTCCTTGTTCATGGCTGTCTTGAGGCTGGAGCACTCATTCGAGTCCCTAAATAAGGAAAAGTAAAAAAACATTGCACAAAATAAAACGCAAGGTTGAGCCTCTACATCAACATCCTCCCATCAACCTTCGTGCTATAAAAGGTTCAGAAGCAAACGGACTTTGTAACAGTGTAATATGCACACTAATATAGGAAGTTAAGTGAAAGCGTCTAGTTCAAAGCCATTCATCAATAGATGTCTCACTTGGGCTTAAACTGTGCCTAAACCGGCAAAGCAAAACACTTTACTTGGGAATTGGAACAATCGAGGAAATTTGAATGCCTAAGAAACCCCTGTGGGTATTCCTGAGAATCTCTAGGCTACTAAGAATTCAGCTGAAGGAACCATGCCATAACCAAACAATTCACAAGCTCGCAAATATTATTTATAAGACTATGCACACTAACACGAAAAGCTCTTTGGCACGGAGCGATGCACCAATTAATAGATGACTCCGTTATACAAAAATTACGACTAGTCTGGAAAAATGCTTCATTTGTGGGTGTCCATAAGTTTCGGCGTTAAGACAGTTTGAGAACCCATCCTCCACAATGTGAGCAATGTTTAGAAATTGAGAGAAAATAACAAAATTAGACAGTCGCATAAAAGGCTTTTTTTAAAAGTAATGAAATGTTAAGAAACGGTTTCTTGTTGCTTACCCATTGACAACGATGACAGTCTTGAACTTTTCTGAAATGGGAGAGTTATCTTCAGCATCGGACAGAAGAAGGGGCACCTTCTCTCCAGCAGAACTTGGCACTACGAGTGAAAAAGAAAACAAAATAATTTGTAGCACAAAGGTGCTAAATTTTCAATCGCACTGTTTGTGTACTGTACAGAAAACATTTCTCCAACAAAAACAAACTCGTGACAAAAGAGATTAAAGACACAAGACATGTTTGCTTGTGCAATAGTGTAATCAAGGTAATCTAAGCATTTAAATCATATCTGTGGCAAATATTTCACTATGCATTATGCTCCAAATTTAAGAGACAATGTTGCAATTAGATTAAAGGGGCAATTATTATAACAGCTCATAGATGTTCAATAGGGCACAATATAGACTCTACTCATACCCTAAACTGTTAACAAGCGTATACGGACGCCGAGTATTTTGAAATTTTCTCTCTTTCTCCAATTGAGGGGCTACGTGCAATAATGGCACACTTGTACCATTCGTGATATTCACGGTCTCAGATGTTACACTTATACATGTGGTACTCTACTTTCGGTGGTAGGGAACACTGTACACTTATATACTCAAAGTTCAAACGCTATACTGACATTGACATGCACAGATAAAATTATTGAGGGACTTTTTGGCTAGCTCAGCATTTGCACTTGTACCACTATTGCACGCAGCCCCTCAATTGAGAGTAGAAATGACACTAACATTTATTTTTGCCTGTATAAATTTTCAAGTGTTGTGCGAATATTCACATTTTCGAATAGTAGTTTCGAATAATATGTTACTCGCTTCAAGACGAACGTCAATATTCAATATATTTTTCTTACTGTTGACGTTGCAAGTTAGGCTTGTCAAGCGCGCTTCTTATCAAGCACTGGTGCACTGCGGGGAACCAACAACTGTAGAGCTCGCTTCCACGGGTGTGTCTTCTCCACGGTGCACCAGTGCTAACCCGTTGCGATCGGCACTTTGAAAAGTACAAATATCGCAGTTGCGTGCTTAGGAGAAAAGTTAATTTCCAAAGCGGGATGGTGCACGTGCACACCTGGTGTATTTAAAAAGAAATGAAACCTTTGTTAAACTTGGCACCTACATTGCAGTGAAATCTTCAAAATTAAACCGGCATGCATGTTAATCCTACATGACTGAAGAAAATATATTTGCATATAGCAAGAATATTTATAAATCCTTTTGATTAGTATAGGTGGGTATCTCTACAGGTTTAATTTTATGTCAAATGAATCATTTACCTGCCATCCCAATGTAGGCACTGGAATTTCGGAAGACACAGTCAATAAATATAGTTTGATTAGAATGAACTTAGCTTAGAAAATTGACGAATGGAAGCTTGGCAGCAACTTTCACAAGTTAAGCTGCGTTTTCGTTTAAGCATGTGGCAGCAGTGAAAGGCTCCGTGAAACTATTCGATATTCAATTAGAAAATATTTTACCAAAACCACTATTCGTTTCAAATCCACTTCGAACTCAAAATTTGCTTTTTGCACACGACTAAAGTTTTTATATATATATATAAATTCCAGAAACACTAAAAGAAAAAGGTGCCTATGGTACAAAGGAGTTGGGCACAAGACAAACATAACGCTGAAAATATTTTTCTTTTCCTCCCTCCCAGGTAAGTCTCAAATGTAGTTTGTTTTTACCGTGCAGTCTTATTTTGGCCCTGAAATGTAATTCTAAGGCAAGTTCGAACCCTCTGCCATTTGAAGAAAGATCTCGACCAAAATGCCCCAAAACCCTCACGGAGTATGTATGTGTACTATTTCTTGAATGACAACCAGGCGTCGTGTAAAAACAAACCGAGAAATAAAGAAATTTAAAAAATACCATCCAGCTCGCATGATACAGCATTGTTTTGCTTTCAAACACGGGACAGTTTGGGACGCCCATAGCCACGGACAGAATGAGAACAACAGGGTGCCTCTTTTAAATGCCCAGCCCTCAGCCTTTTGCCCACCGCCGAGCTTTGGCTGCGCGCGCATGCTCAAGGCTCGCGAGACGCCGAAACATGGTCGAAGTTTCGAAGCTCGTACTGGAAGCGGGACAACTGAAGGGCCTCCCAGCCCTTCTGATCCCGTCAGCAACTAGAGCCAGAACAGCCTGTCCAGGTTCCTCCATGACGACCGCCCCCACGCATGCATTGTTGCACCCTGACCTCTGCGCTTGTCCTCCTCCGCCTTGGCCTTGAGGATGTTGCATTTCATCTGGTCGGGCGGGATCGGCTTGGGCACGCTGTTGGGTTTCGTCTGGTTGTTCTTCATGGGCTGGGGAAGGCAGGGCACGACCGTCACGGGGCCGGAGGCACAGCACGTCTCCTTGCCGCTGGGGCCCCCCAGGACGGAGCTGCCGCAGCTGCTGTCCAGCGACTTGAGCCTCTTGGACAGGTCTTCTGCCTCTGGCAATGGAGACAATGCCCGCTTTCAGCGACAGTTCAAGAGCAGTAGACGACAAAGTAATTGAGAGCAACTCAGCATCTTAGATAGGTGTCCTGCGTCTGACATTGGAGGTGGTGCCCCTTTTCAGGATGGTTCCCGAGCGGTGGAAGAAAGAGTAACTGACGGCAGAAAGCACGTGACAAAGCATCAACAGAGTGCCACCATTTCCCCGACTTTTCAAGGTACCCCAATAAAATTCCCCGATGATGTTGAGTTACCCCCAACATTCTTAAGAACCGACATGCGCCTAGGTGTTGCACGCCCGTCCATTCAGAAAACTATTGCAACGCCAACCACATTTACCTCGCAGGGCAGAAAAAGGCCATGGTACATCTCTTCGTAAGGAAATATAAACTTTCATAAAATATTTCATGATACAAGCACATCGGATGTTGTTTTCACGTCAATCCAATAATGCTCAACCGATAGCCACATATAACAGGAGGTTGTACAACCGAGTGACATGGAACAAATTTCATATCGTAATTTAAGCACATAAGCTACAGTAAAACCTCGTTATAACAAAATGGGATATAACAAACTAATGGATATAACAAAGCAATCATAATTCCCCTTGCTTGCTAATAGTGGGAAGAAATGGACATTGGCTATAACAAACTAATGGTTACAACGAAATAATTACGACCGCTCCTTCAACTTTGTTATAACGAGGTTTTACTGTATTGCACACAATTATTTTATAACCAATGATTCCCAATTCGCTGTAAAGCTTACGAGGCAATGACCGACGATACCACATAAAATGTTTTTCCGCTTTAGTTTTTCGGCAACTTGGCAATCTAACAGGTGCCACTGTCCGTGGAAGCACGCCTTCAAAAGCCAGCCTTCAAAAAGTTGATGATATTGGAAGGCTCTGAAATTATGCTGCCTAAGTTGCCGTACCTGTCTCCGGCTCCTCCGGTATTTCTACCCTGTTGTAGACCGTGAGATCGTTCCGGGTGTCGGATGCGCTGTTGGTCTCCTTGGCTAGGGAGCGGATCAAGGTGTCCAACCTGTCCTCAGCATTGCCAACTGCCGCTGGGCTGGTGGTCCGTGCAACTTCTGTGGACCTGGGAAAACACCAAAGATTTCCTCAACCGAAAGGTAGGCCCTTCCGTCTCTGTCAAACTGTCCCCAGCTATCTATTTTACGGGCTATAGTCCACAGAAGAGAGTTTAAGGTCAAAAATAGGTTTCTGCTTAGATAGTCTGCACCCAGGGCATAGTGTGCACGCCGTGCATAGTCCCCAGCTGGTACTTTGTCGACGTGGAAATTCTCTCATACACGGCACACTCTGACCAATGTCTGCTTTCTTATCTCACAAAGGAGCTTGTATTATACATAAATCATCAACATACTTTTTCATTTGCAAAATCTGTCGTGTCTTGTCATATTGAACAATCTTGAAAAACAAAATTCCTGTATAGTCTACAGGTGTACGTAGTCCGTACAGTCTAAAATTTTAACTTTTAAACATGTATAGTCTGCAGAAAATAGCCCCGAAAATATGGTGTATAGGTTGAAAGGTGGCCTAGAGTAATCAAAAAAAACTTTCACGCATCACATCATTCTAGATTCTGGATTCACTCTAAGCTGCACTATTATGATATGCGACTCCCAGTAATAGCAGTTCCATTTTCAACAAATGCAGTAATAAAACACATGCTGAGCTAAAAATGTGTAAATTTTGTCCCCATATGTAGAGGTGCAATACCCTGCACCACTTTTCTCTTTATTTACACCTTTTATAATGTTTTACTATGTGCTACATCCTATTTGTTGGAAAGCATTTGTTGTTGAGGTGACCCCGGTGCTTCTGAGTATCGCAACCACCTCCTCCTCTTTCTTTAACTGGTCCCTATGTACAGTTACATGGGACTGCGACACACAGTCCCAAAACAGGCACGGGAAGTAAGAGCATCAGATTAACATGAACTGGTGATATGTCACAGCAATTACTAAAATGTGCACTCGGATAAATTACGGCCCGTTGGACACTAACGCTTGCTCTTCAAGCTCGTTTTCGGGGCAGTAATTGTTTGCCGAGAAAGACAAGTGGCTGCAGAAAATTCAACAAGAGCCGGATTACGTACAGTGTTTCAACCAAGGGTGGGTTGGGGAAGTCGTTGCTCGCTGCAACCGCGGTTGGAGCCACTGGCAGCATGTCTATGATGGCCGGGGGACGGGGGTCGGAGCCGACGGCGGTGGCAGAGGCAATGACGTTGGGAAGCGAAGCCCGGACGTCTCTGCGGTTTTCCCGGATGGTGCGCCTAGAGTAGCGCTGGCTGGGACGGCGCTCAAACTGCACCGTCCGCCGCGTCCGGTTCTTCTGAGTGGCCTGGAACTCCGTGTGACCGCTGGTTCCGAAAAGAAAAATGCCATTCAACCCTGTTACAACAATCTGTCTTCAAAGACAGCAGAACCCTCGTTTTGTTCAAAAAGAGAACTAACCAAATCTGTAGACCTTTCTGGCGCTTATCACCCGAGCGAAAAATGCCGAGTCACTCGACTCTGGACGCAAGCACACCGTCCGACATTCATCGAAAGCGAGCTACTGCGCACACTCGGAAAATCTCCCACAGCCCACAGTAGGCAAAGATGGTGGCGTGCAGAGAGCGATTCTTGGAATGGTCTACCGGTCCTCTCAAGCAATTCTTGGAATGGTCTACCAGTCTCAAAAACACCTTTTTATACAAAGTCCTACCCTCACCGGCAGGATGAGAACAGCAGGACGTATGAAGCTCATCCTGTCGGCTACAACCGAAATATCCTGAGATGCCCCACCCTCGACAGATAGACCACACCTATTTTGGCAGGATTTGCTATTTTTCAAAAACGCCGAAATATAGCCCAATTCTAGTAATTGTAAGCGCCTGGCCAACGGTGACCTCGGCAGAAATGGTGTTACTTAGCCCCACCACGGGAGATAAAAGAACACTGCTAACTGGGAAGGACAGTCGCCTTTGGTTCATCGCCCCTTCCTGCAATCGCAAGTTTTGCAGGTCACGGAATCTAAAACCATCATTTTCCCCAACTCTTTTTTTTTTTTTATCGCAAACCAAATTTTTTTATTTTTTGGTGCGTGAATTTTTTATTTTATATTTTCATCCGATTTGCTTTCGGTTTTAGGTGGGTCGTTTCTCGGGATAATGCGATACACTAGTGCAAAGGGCATGTGGGAAGAACTGGGCAAGAGGTCCTCACCTGTACCTAAACCGCGACCCCATGCGGAAGAAGTTTTGCCTGGTGCCGGGGGGACGTGCGGGCTCCCTGAGTCGAAAGAAAGCATGGTGCTCCACGGCACACTTCCATAGGTGCTTGGCTGCCTTGGGGTTGTACAGCCGAAACACAAACGTGTGTTCTTGTTCTTGCCCCTGGAAAGAGCGGTGACCATAACATGTCTACATTAATGTAAACAAGATAATTCCACAGTATACCAGCCCACCAGCTCAGCTGCACCTCACAATGTACCGCAAGAGATGCTAGGATTCACCGCAACCAATCCGTAGCACAGAGTATGTCGCATGACCCTTCGGTTATGCAGAATGACACTCAACGTGTGAAGTCATGTAGTACACATGACAGCACTGGATCGTCTAACGTGACTTGTCATGTTTGTTGCAGTATATCGTAAGGTGAAACCAAGTATTGTTAAGATAAAAGAGCTGAACTGAGTGCAAGCAGCTCAATAAGTGCATGACCAGTAACACAAACGCGGTTGTTAGAGCGGGAGAACTGTTCACCTCTAGCAAAGTTCCATTTGACCCTGACAGAGTCTATGAAGCTTATATACAAGTTTGCTTCAGTGAGTCCTCGAAAATTTTAATTTCAACTCGAGGCAGAAAGAGCTTCGAGAGAGTTCGAGGGAGGAGGCTTACGTCGTCGTCGTCTTCGACAACCACGAGGGTGAGTTTCTTGCTCTTGAAGTCGAGGCGAGTGATCTTGGGCCAGAAGAAAAGTCCAATCTTGATAGACTTCTCGAAGACTAGAATGCCCGTTGGCGTCAGGCCAAGGGAGTAGTCCTGGCCGTCTTTGCCCTATGGTGGAAACGGGATATTTGTACAGTATAGACCACTTACAACGTAACCGCTTATAGTGCAGGACCGGGTATAACGCGGCTTTTTTAAGCCACCAGTTCGCCTCCCATAAAACTCCATGTAATTACATGCCGCTTAAAATGCAGGCGCGCGAAGGGAAATACCGGTTATAGTGCGGTTTCTGGAAAAGCCCGCCGACCGCGCCGACCATCCGGTGCCTGGCGCAGCGAGCACGCTTCCTTGTGCGACAAGTGGCACTCGCGGGGCAAGAAGGTTGCTCGAAGAAGCGGGGAGAAGCGAAGAGAGGGGCTTCACTTGCCATAGCGACGGAGGGAAGCACGTGTCGTTCACGTGCGTGCATCCCTCCGCTGCGTTGGAAACAACCGCAACGACAGACCAATTGCAGGTCGAGGAGAAGTGTTTGCGCGCGTTGCATGCTGGTCGCGGGCCGGCTTCTTCTATCCGCAATCATGGCGTCGGTTGCAATTGTTGTGATTGTCGACGTAGACAGCGTGGTGGAAGCTCATCGTTCCGCGTAAAAGCGCTATCCTTGACTGTGAATTTTCGTTGTGTTGCTATGATAACCCAGCACATACTAGAAGGGAAGATCCACCTACTCGTGCAGCGATGTCGTGGCGGCGCTCTCAAGACTGCAGAAACGCCCGTGTCGTCGTGTTCGTTTACTTCGACTACAGTGGTGATTTCTAAGCATTTGTGTCCTTGAACATCACCCGGATTTCTTATTTGGCGCATTTCATGCGTGTGCTCAAGTTGAAGGTATTACTGGCGCATACCGTATGAAGGATGCGAATTTTCACCCGTTTTCATCACCGGAGAAAAGTGATTAGGGTTAGCAATCCTGAACGCTCGCAATGTCCACCCGCGACGCCGTTGAAAGGCTGCGCCAGGCAAAAGTCGCTCATTTCTTTCAAAATGTGTGGCACACTTGAGAGAGAAGTGTACTAGTCTGGTGAAATAAAGACTTTCCTCAAACTAAGCTTTATTTTTCATCTAATATAAAATAAATTGTTTTACAAAGGTAAGTTGTCTCATGGCATGTATTTTGGCCTGAAAAATTGATGTTTTGGTTATAGTGCGGTACCGCTTATAGTGCGGATTTTCACGACTCCCGCAACATACGTTATATGCAGTCTACACTGTAGTCGTGCAAGACATCTCGTGGTGGAGGGGAGGTTTCAGCAAATTAATTCACAAGGAGGGTGGAACACCGAAAGAATAAAAGCGCATGAGGGACGACGTACACTTTCTCTTCACACGTCGCCCTTTGTCCCACCTGTGTCCTGTTGTTTCAGTGTTCCTTAACTCCACCAAGATGCTCGTCAATCTAACATCAACTAACAACCAATGTGTGCACCAACACAACAGAGTTTGACTATGCAAGTGTCAATTCTTTTCTTTCATGCTTCAAAAGAAATACTACTGATAAGAAACTGTGCCCTACGCAACTGGTGTTGCGTGCTCTCGCAGGAAATATGACTGAAAACTCTGTAAAAGGCATCTGCCACAGCATTAAGCAATCAAAGAATTAATGAAATAGGCTTCTGAAAACCACACAAACTTTACTATAATTCAAGCAGTATTTAAATTGGGCACATCAAAGCAGGCAGGGCATCGCTCCCAATGTCGGCAACAGCGATTGGTCAGTACGGTGACATTTCAAGCCCCGCAAAGAAACAAGAAAAATGTGTTAAGGAACTAAAAAATATCAGCTTCCAAGATGATGCCAATATACCGCACGTGAAATTCATTCTTAACAATGTGCAGTCGCAAGTGTTGTCTTTCTCTTTTCCCCGATTTCCCCTTAGACATCTTTTTAGTGCTTTCACTATGTTTGCAAATGCACAGTGTGATGGTGGAATCAAAAAGCAGACTTTTTATACGACTGTCCGATTTTACAAACACAATGATTGCAAGACTGATTGGTAACAATGAAAATCTGAAATTCTAGAGAACTGGGGGGGATCCAGACTGTCCTCTCTATCTTTTTAAAAACAGAATTCACCCGACTTGACATAAACAAAAGGACACTTACCAACACGGTGTGCATGTCCACGCCGTACATCTCGAGCCACTTCACCTTGCTGAGGAAGTTCATTTCTGCTTGTGCAGGGGTTTGACTCCTAAGGAAAGCAGATGTGTGACACACTGCAGCTTACACTCATTTATAATTTATTCATACAACTTGAGATTGAGCAGTTCATTTTGACTGCTCAATCTATTTATAAGTCCATTTCACCTTAGCTCATTTTGCTGGCGTCATTTCGATACAAGATGTGAACTTCCCACAGTGCACTCTGTTTACATGGCGCAACGGAATCTGGTATATAAATGTTTGTCACGTGCATCAAATAGTTGGGTATTTCATCTTTGCAAGACAACAAAATAATTTGATGACATACCAAACTTGCCTTGAAGCCGAAAAAAGACACTAAGGAGAATTCCAAGATTTTTTTAAAAGTGATGCCAGTTCTTAAGAAGATTCAATATAACCGCCTAATGTATTCCAAAAAGACGAATACTTCGTCCCAAAATGGGACGCGCGAAAAAGTGTGATAGCCACCGAAACCAATACGTCTGCTGGAAACAAGACGGGACAAAGCAAAACTGAACTCGGAGACTGCTTCGGCTTTTCCGCCTCAGAGATCTCAATGCACTCTAAGCAAACATTTTCCCCCCAGGTGGCACCACGAACTTGGTCAATTTAGTTTCCGTCCAATTAATTCGAGAGGCAACAAATCATCCGACGGATCAGAACTCGGTCAGTATTATTGGGAGGCTCCGAGCACCTTTACAAATAGGGTGCCTCAATGCTGTTCTCCGTGGCGACGCCACTCTCTGTACCACCCAGTGCCGACGGCACGTGCTTGCAAGGACAATACAAAGAAAAAGCCAGAAACAAAATTCCACCATGGCCCAATCAGTGCTAAAGGCTCATGCCGGGAGACGCCCTTTCACACGCTCCTGAACAAAAAATAAACAAAAGCGGCGCGACAAAAATTATTTATAATGTCACAACCCTAAGCGAAGTGAACATGAAGGCAGCCTAATTACAACAATCATTAACTTAAACCTAAAAAAATTGCTTTAGCTTCCCTTTACAAACAAATAAACTGAAGCTTCGTTGTAAAAAGTACTACTACAACATACTTGAGGTCCTTGAATGCAGACAGGATATCCACTTCCATCTCCTCCGTTTGCTCAGGAGTGAACCTGAACTCCGAGACAAACTCCGCAGTGTGGACTTCGGGGTCATAGTCCCCCAACTCGGCTGGATAAAGGATAAGGAATAAAGTTTACTTACAGGACAGCCAAATAATGACAAGACAGTGATGGAAAAACAGCACAATAAAAAACCCGTAAAAAAATATTAAATGCATCTTAATTCTATGGATAAAGGAAGTCAGGAGACATAGAAAGTGCAAAGGAAGTATGCATATATTTATCTGCTTATAATAAATTAATTATCATCATTATTTATCTTACCATCAGGATACTGAGGCATTAGAGGGGAAGTGGAGAATACAAGTAAAAAAATAAAACTGAAGAGGAACAACATATACAATACTCAAACAATAGAGATCTTAAAATTAGCAATAGTTATAAAAAAAAATTGTAGCCAACCACTGATGCGAGAAATACAGGTAAGCGAACCCGTAAGCGATTACAGTTAAAGAATGACTATTCATTTATTAACTTGGCTAAATATGGTGGCCGGCTATGGTTTTTCAAGATGCTTCTTTTCGAAATGTTACAATCATCTCATGGAAGCTGGCCCTATAACACATTCTTGGTTCATAATTTACCTGTGGCTGCGTCAAACTGCACCCTGAATGGGAGCAGCCTTATCTGGATGTAAGCATCTGCATACTTATACTTGTTTTCACCTCAATAACTCTGGTAAAACATTTTCCCACTCTTTGCGGAGCATTAGAAATTTCCCCATTCATGTGGTGAATTCAGAAACTTGAATGTCAATTTAAGAAGGGTTATTTGTTGTTTCATCAAAATGAACTTTTTTCAGAAATAAAGCATAGTTTTCGTTCTTGACAACCTAAGCTTGTAAGGGCTGCTTCATAAAGCATAAAAACTCTGCACAAAACATGCTTTCTTTGTTGAGATGCAACTAGTACAGACTGGAACGAAAGACCAGCCTAAAATGAGTCACGTGTCTACGCTTGTGCAAGCGATTGCAATGCATTTTACCTTCATCACAGAAATGGCTAGAGTACATAAAAAGTGGGATCAGATGTTTTCGGTTCTTGTAGCTTTCTTAAATCGAGAGCAGGAAGGTAAAGAAAATAAGCTTTTTCTGGAGTCCATCTAGATTATCTGCCAACAAAAAATACACAACAGAATTTGCACAAAAAAAAAAAAAACTTTTTTTTTCATGTTGACTTATATTTAGCAGTTTCCAATTTCTAACTTACTTTGTCTTGTTTACAAACACCTGCCTCCTTTGCTGCACCCAACTGAAACTACAGCTATCTGCTCCAGAAAGGTATTTTATGTTGTGCCATGTTAAACATATTTAATTTGGAGAAAAATTGTATGTAACCTGCAATCTCCATTTGAGATGGCTTCAATTAAGAAATCAGGTATTCCCTTAAAACATCCAGCCCTGCACATAAAGCATGCTTGAAGTGTGTTTAAGAACAGTGCAACAGTAGCAGGTGACCAGGTTGTTTAGCATACGTAACCAGCTCATTTTCAAAGTGTGCTGATAATGCATCTGCTGAAAATATAAACAAAAATTCAGCCTTCTAAAATTGCACACTCCTTCTGTCACAAGTTAAACCAATAAGAAAAAAAAAAAAACTCCAAAAACTGGAACTGATTCCTAAAACCACCTTCATTCAATTGAACTAGTTCTCAAACCTTTAATTGTGCTTAACTTCAGACTACTTTAACTTGATCAAAATTGCTGTAATTTTTATAAATCCATCGTTCCCGACTTTTGCAACCACGAAGAACAAAATCACGGAAACAGTGTTCGTATGAAGTTAGACTGCAACAAAATCTTGTTTGACAACACACCAACTTTGAATGTTTTATGCCGACTTTAGCAGGTTCAAAAGTATGACCAAATTCACTAAAGCAACAAAAGAGATCTCTTAAAAAGCCCAGTGGCAACAAGGAAATAACTGTGTCACTGCAAAATTAACCATGCAACAAAGAACAATCAGACTAAAAGGAAAACAAGTAAACTGAGAAGACAAAGGGGTCAAGCTCACACTGCAGGGTATAAGCGCAGAGCTCCACCGCAGTCTGGTACGTGCACGGTAATCTTCCAGTGAGGATGTCCTGCTTGAGTTGCAGGAAAAATAAATACCTGGGAAAGAAGCCAGGAAGATTAGTAGTCAGCTGCTCAAGGTCAACACTGTCCCAGCCACCCCGAGATCCGAATACACGAGTAAACAATGCCTTATCCTGAGCCGTGTCTTGATTTTGAGCGAGCATACACACCGCGCCAAGACCCTCCAAAAAGAGGAAGCCCACTGACACCTTAAGATAAGTGTCACTGGTATGTCAAAAGATTAGGTAGTGTCTTTGTGCATTCTTATAAAAATGTCCTGCCCATTCTTTTTCTTTTTTTTTTCACGCACTCAATCCAGGTTGATACACTCTGGTCAGATGTGCTTGTACACTGCATACTTATTTTTCAACATGCTCCGACCAGCCTAAACACTCTGCAACTGATTGTGGTGACTAATACAAACTGACATGTAGTTATCAGCAAACATTAGGGTGAAAAAATGTTTAAGTGTTAACAAAATGTTTATCACAGCACTCTTAATGTTGCAGGGAAATTTCATGAGAGATAGGTAAGTCACCCACGTAAGCAATTTACATATTGCATAAAACTCATCATCTACTAATTATCTTTCACAGGTGCAAATCAAGATTTTAAAATATTGATGCTTGGAAAAAAACAGGCTATAGAAGCCATGTTGAAATCTAAAACAAAAATTAAAGCAGATGTGTGAGATGCATCATACTCTGCTTTTTTCTCATCAGCAAAGCTGTGCTGAATCTTGTTCCTACAAAGAGTGTAGAGAAACTTAACACTGAAAATGCACAGCAGTACACACCTTGTCAACTCCTCTCTTAAAGTGTTGGGCTCTGAAGAGTAGAATTTGACTTTGAGATGAAATGTGTAGGGGGGTCCAACTGCAATGAAACATGAAAGAAAGGTTTAAATGAAGAGACCCTAGTATTTAATGCCTTTTGCACCCCTTGGCACAACTTCAATGCCTACATAAATGTTTTGTGCATTCAATAAGAAAGGAAGAAAAATAAGAAACTCACTTTTCACTTGCTTCCTAACTTGTTTTGTGATGTCAAGCCAGTGCTGAAAAACAGAAAAGCAAACATGAAACAGAAAAAACTACTTTTAAAGAATGTTAATTTTAGAGCTACCATTCAGTGAATATTTTTGGAGAAAAAAAAAAGTTTAAAGAAACATTGCAAACAACTTCTGTGAACTTCTTTTTCCCATGTCCATACTGCTGTATTTTGGCATTTAGTAACACAGATACGACATGATACTGTAACTGAGGTTTAAATTTGCAGGCTCAATAATCTCATTTACAATTGGTTGTTCCTGATTTTATTAACAATGAATTCACCACCAAAGAGTAACCTATTCATTTGATAAATTGTTTAATTGTATTTTTCTACCCTCAAATTCTACTTCAAATTAAGATCACCACAAATAAAAGTATGTTACAGTACATTTCTTGCAGGAGAGATAGGGTTCACGAGTGATGACTATAACTAAAAACACAGACCCTTCTATAACTAAGCAAAACTCAAAATTATAGTGTTCCAATCTCCAGCCTGCTTTCTCCTTTTGCCAAACTCAATTACTTTAAAAATCTATGCTTCCCAGTCTCTAAGGTATACACCCATCAAATTACATCTCATTCAAAACTGGCAAACTTCGTTCAAGTTTTTCAAAATGTCTCAAACTAAAAAGGTTCTAATGTGTTTAACTTCTAGGAGCGATTAGCTAGGGCGTTCCAGAGTCATTCGAATTTCTCCAAACGTCAGAACTTGGAAAGGTCACAATGCGTCTGACCCCCACTAACAGCAGAACACTTATTCACGCCTGAGTATTCCAAAGAGACTGAGGTTTTCATCAGAGCTGTCAATGAGCCAAAACCTTGGTGAGTCATCCACCCATCCCCTTTCTGTGGCCTTGCAAGGAACCCTCAAGCTAGGTAAATACCTGTGGAGCAAGGTGTTGCTGGATTATGCAAGGGTCCTTACCTGCACATGAAAAGGATCGGTGAACTGCAGACCAAAGTAGTCTTTCTCAATCAGGTCAATATGGTAGAACACTTGTTCCACAAGTGCTGAGCCCAGTGCCTTTTTCTGCGAGGACAAAATACAGGCACGGAGACAATTACTGATACTCTGTCATTCAGATAAAACCTGAACAATAGGCTGATTTCATCAGCCATTGTATAAGATGACGGGGGGTGGGAATTTCATGAGTGATTGCACTTCAATTGTGGCATGCACTTACACCAAAACTACTGGCAGCTCTATAAAAAATTTTCCAGCTTCCTTTTGCATGTTTTGTTTCTTTTTCTGTTAACCAGGTGTTCTGGATTTTATATTCAGTCCCATCTCGGTACTCTGGCACAGAGCTTTGACAGCACCAAGAAACCAGAGCTTGTAACAATGAAGGAACATAAAAAATATTTATTCCCAACTGCATGAAAAATTGTTAATGCCTGGCTGTCAAAATGTAAATTTGTGAAGAGCCCAAAGAAAGTTTTGATGGAGTAAACAATAATTGTAACTGAACATTTCAGAAGTCTCCAGGAGATTTAACCAAGCATCTCACTGTCTCACACTATCCTACAATCTGCTGACTCACTGTCTCACGCTATCCTACAATCTGCTGAAGTAGTAGCATTGTGGTAATGAGCAGGGCTTAAAGTCTGGGGGGTTTCAGGGGGTCTCGGACCCCCACTGATTTTAACGGATGGTCTGAGACCACCCTCTACAGTCCCAGCATGAGTGAAATCAAAATCATATATTGCAATAAAATAGCTTGTTTTCAGAAATCGGACATTTGGGGTTTAGCAATTTGAGGGTTGCAGGTACAGCGTAGGTAGAGTCAGCAGTGGGATTTATTTTATTTGCATCTAATACATCTCGTCAGAACACCCCTCACCCCCTTCCTTCTTCTAGGGACCCCCCTCAACTTACGGGAGACTTTAAGCACTGGTACTGAGGACAGAGACAACAAAACAAATCACCTAAGGCTTATTTCATTTCTTTCTGCAGGGGATAATAGGCATTCCTATTACCCACAAGCTTGCACCTTTACTGTTCTCCCAGCCTGGTTAAATGGGCCTTTTATGACAAGCACTGAAGTGTTATAAGGCAAGGTGAGATGGCCAAATCATATATTCCAAATGATACATAGCATAAATTGAGAGATTAGTCCTTGGGTCCCAGAGAATATTAGAGAAGAGAAAAACTAAACAATACGAAAAAGAACAAAGTAGAAATTTCAGAAAACAATAAATAATTTACATTGTGCTATATATATATAGATGAATGAAAGGAGCTGCACTCTATCAGTCATTAGTATTTATCTAAAATGAGATGTTCTAGAAATAGCTCTGCCTTTAATATGATGCTTATAGTCACTTTAGATACATGTTTAAGTAAATAAATGCATAAAGAAGTCAGGTACCCACCATGACCCCCTTCTATCAATCCCATTGAATGTGGCTGCGAAATCCTCCCAGGTAGTACTATCTACAACACTGCTGGGACAAGCGGTTGACTCCAGGTGCTGTACAATGTGTGCAACGTATGGCCCCTGATATTTATTCGTCGACTTTACTCGATAAAGTTGTGCACCCCTTTTAACAAATTGTCAACTTTAACTGGAATTTAAGAGCTTTCTTTGGTACGGATGCCAGGGTGCAAGTCAGTGATTTTGCTTGACCGTGGATTCTAAATTGCTGCCCAGGTAGAATTTTGGGTATGAAAACCGGGTTCCGGAAGAAATTTCCCCGGAAAAAACGTCCCTAGAAAAAAAGTCTCCGGAAAGTATGTCCCCAGAAAAAAAGGCCCGAGATAGAAAGTTTACCCTGGGTTTTCTCCGATTCTCATGGCCTTCGGGCAATCTTGTTAATGTCCGGTCACAAATGATCCGAGTCCACACTCGTCAAAATGCAATGCCGTCTTCACAACCTCTGCGAAAGCTACACCGCTGGGGCAATCATGTGTGCCGTTGGCACACATGAAATCTTCAAAACTAACGATCCGCTTTTGACTTTTGTGCACGAGTCTAGAGTGTGTCTATTCATTCCTGATTTTGTAACATTGCATCTCAAATGTTTTTGTTTATTTTTCACTGTGAAATAAAAATTCATAACAGTTCTAGCCCAAACCAAATTATTGCGTTTGGGGAACTTTGAGAGGTGCTTTTATAACTATCTCCAAATAGGTAAAAAGCGCAACACTGTTAGCACAAACAAGCAATCGCTAATTTTTTTTTTTCAGAAACGAAAGGTTAATTGGCATCAAAGTTATTACAGGTACTGCAAGTGCTTATTTGGGGATATAATGCAGACGGTAAAATTTCGTTCCCACTTATACGCTTTCTAAGTAAAATGTGAAAATGCGCCGATGTCGTGTTCGCGCTAACAGTGTCGCGGTGTGTACATCGGAGAATCGTATATTTCCTTATTTGTTGGGGCCGTTTTTTGCTACTTGCCACACGGTGCCTTTTTTCCCAAGGACATACGACCGGACCGCCCGAAGGCCATGAGGGTCAGGGAAACCCAGAGATTTGAGAATCCTTTGGGGACATCTTTTCCTACTTTCCACCTGGGGCCTTTTTTTCCGGGGCCCTTTTTTCCGGGGCCTTTCTTTCCGGGGACACTTTTTCCGGGGCCTTTTTTTTCTTCGAGGACATTTTTTTCCGGGGACATTCTTTCCTACACCCGTCAAAAACCCCAAGCTCTGATGAGGATATGGCTTCTATGGACACGACAACTGAACAAGCGTAATCAAGCACCGTCCCGAGTTTCTTTACTTCGAAGAATTTTGGGGTAAATCTTGGCTGGTGCCCTATGTACACCATATTCTCACTTTTACATCCGCAGTTTGGAACGACTACAATCTGACGGCAGCGGCATATTTTTTTGACACGAGAGACGCGCAGTAGGTAGAAGTAGTAAAACGTGCTGGGCGTGCGGACCTTTTTTTTTTTTTTTTCTCTTATGTTTAGGCCGTGAGTACAACTACCTTCCGCGGCGGTCGCCCTGTTACCGCCCTGCGCTATCGCGTGCATTTTCTGGAACGCTCATGTGGAACTAAAGAGAAAAACAGAAGAAAAAAAAGAAGAGTAGCGCCGGTCGCCGGCTAGCTATGTCGCAATGTGCCAACGAGGCTCGGGTGATCGAACCACAAGAACCCAAGAAGTCGTTCAGTGCAACCCATTGAGGCAACGCAACAAAAGACACTTGCGAAGCTAACACGCCTACCCTAGCGACGAAAAAAAAAAAAAGAAAACCGAGCTGCAGTTCTGCTACCAACGCACGACGTTAAACGACAAACGGTAATGTCCAAGCGAGCCCCACCTGCCGCGCCAGCTGCCTCAAGTTTAAAGAGCGATCTCTACGGAGGAGGACGCGTGATCGTCGATTTGGTCGTTCGATCGGACTTTTTTGTTCTTTTTTTTTATTTTTTTTTTTATACGAGACAGTTGTGGTTCAAAAGCTCGTTTATCGTAGGTTAGAACGCACGCCGCCTCCGGCGTTTCAAAGGAGGCCAGCGCAGCGTAACAAGGGGCGCGACTTCCCGAGTCAGCACAAAAGGAGAAGAGCACGCGACGCTTTTTTTTCTCGCCGAGCGAGACACCCGTCAGAGTAAAAACAAAAAACGCGACGTTGACGAGGCCTAGCAGGCCGAGCTTACCGGGACGTCGACGCTAAGGTCAGTGCCGTCCAGTAAGACCACTTTGCAAGGCAAGACATTCTTGGGCGACGCACTGCCCCCCTTGTCTGTCCGGGTCTGCCGACTCCATCTCTTGCTCAAAAAACGGAACATTCCCCGCGGTATCCGATGGCTTGTCGTCGTCGTCCCAGCCGAACGTCCAACAACACGTAGTACATCACAACCGATGTAGGCAGGTCGCCCGAACGGTCACTCGAGAAGCACGGCTCGACGACGGCGTCAACATGGTACCCCCCTCGCGCGCACACACCACACCAAACACCCGCACAAGCAGCGCCGGCCAACTTTGCTCGCGCTACCTGCGCCGACGACCGAAGGAGAGGACACTCGCACACGACAGTGCATGGCGCATGCGCGATGAGCGGCGGCGTGCGCGCAAACCGGAATCTTGGCTCGGCCGTGCGGTGGCGTTCACACGGAAACGCGTCGGCGTCGCCGCCGCTGTTGTTTCAGCGTCTTGTGCCAACTGCCGCGTTACCGTCGTCTGCTAGCGCTGAAAACGTCGCCGCGTTTGCGTGTGAACCCGCGCGCGGTTCCCATAAGAGATGCAGTCATTTGGTTTGGGTGCCGGTCTACTGCTCGGCTGAAAAGATCGGCTGATTCATGCCTCCGTGCTGCCGTCGCCGATTAACCGCGCTCGTTTGTTCCTTTCTCAGAATTGAGCGGTCGGGTCTCTCCGTCGTATATATATATTATTTTTGTGTGTGTGTGTGTGTGTTTTGCAACGCGCCGCTCCGCGAGATGAATAATTAATCTGGCGCTGACCAGTTGCAGCTAATAACTCTGCCGCACACTGACCGTGGCGTGGCGGGAGGGTTGATAAAAAGGCCGCGGCGATTCAAGGCGACAAAAGATAACGTCTAGGCGTAGATCTAAAATATTACATTTCAATATATATATATATTTTTTTTTTCTTCGTTACGTGAAGAAAAGCCGGCACCTCCCTTGCGCTCAGAAATGCAATCGTGCGTTCGTGACAGTTAATATGCCTCTGTAGTAGTTTTCAAGGTGCCATTCGATACGCCCCTTATTCACCGGCGACGTTTTTTTGTGGATGTGAGGAACTACCGCATCTCGAGGATGCGAAAACAAAATTGAGTGAGAAGGGTCGCTTTGTTGGAGTACGAAGGTTTTCTTCGCCCGCGTCTTTTTCGGACTGTGCGCGACGCGCGTGACCTGTGCGGAGAATACGGTACCGCTGGATTTTTATCTTGAGATGTGCGTGCGTGTGGGGTATACCTGAAGTGCTTTTTTCTTGAAGTTCATTGTATTGTTTAGCCGAGCACGGAAGTACGTGCGATAAGCCTGCGGGAGCGCTAGTAGGGGGACTTTAAATGGTTCAAAGCCCGCGCGACGAAAGCAGCGAAGCGTCCTCTGCTCTCGGCTTCTGGCGCTTTATTAAGGTTCCGAGTGAAAGACGCCCCATTCATAAGGACGACGTTTTCTGCTTTGTTTGCTTTTGTTGTGTTGCTTTCTGCGGAGGAGTGGAAAGTCCCGAGACAATGGGCATCTCTGACCCTTGCCGACGCGATTGTTCGGTGCTTTGTGTTTCGCTTCGATGTATATTTTCTGGAGCGTGCGTGCCAGATGATAGAGAGATGGCCCGTACCACCGTGGCTCGGGGTATGATTGTTGCAGTTTTGTTTTGTTTGGTTTTGATTCAAGATTCATAGTCACGTTCGTGGCAGAGCTCTGTGGGACGTGTCTGTTTGTCGCATTTCTATACATATTTGTAGGATTTCCGGGTTTTTTTTGGCACTTTAGCACATACCTCTAGTAGCACACTTCGTCCTGTGGACGTCTTTAGGATGTCCTAACGTCCCAGGGATGTCCTGTGGACGTTCACAGGACATTTGTGCTGCTTGGGCAAATGACATACAATGCAAATGACATAAAAATACAACTAGCGGCACACTGAAGCGACCGAAGCTGTGGAATATATGAATATAATTTATTTGATTAGAAGACTGCGAGTGAGCAGGCGAGCTGGAGGTAGCTAATCATGTTGTTTATTTAACACGTTCCCTTCTGTGTATGTTCCTTCAACTAAGATTTTTTTTGTTGTTGTTTTTTTGCATTACAGTTTTAGGTGTTAAACGACATGATATTGATTTGATATCCTTGTTCAGTCTAATATGGGCAGACAGCCATAACATGTCTTCATTTTTTTTTTTTTTTTTTTTTTGCACGACAATTAGTAAGTAGTGTTGCAAAACAGTGCGATAAATATACTTCGCCGAGTGTTGATAGGTACATACATTAAAAAGTTTTCGCGAGATCGTCACGCATACCTACCTGACCAGCTGTAAAAGTACCACATTGTTTTCCTATCTTGGCTCAGATTCTCTTGGGCTATTCTTGCGTGACTCGATCCTGCGAGTGCGAGCGCTTTTGCGCGCCTCGCTTCAACGATTTCTTATTGGCTCACAGGGGTCTTAACTTCGCCGTTTGCAGATTTATGCGCTAGGACAAAGTACAGTTATTACACGAAGCGTAGTTAATCCGCCCATCTACACAAAGTTGTAGTTAAAACAATGCTGTCCCCCGATTAGTGACTTATTCATTCAGGTACGGGACGATTTTAATCTTTTGCTTAATATAGACGCTAAGAAAAGCCCCGGGCCGGATGAAATTTCAAATGCATTTTTGAAACGATATTCTAAGTGGTGCGCTAAGCACCATAACCATAATTTTCCAGTCATCTATACAAAGTGGTTCCGTTCCAAAAACCTGGAAGATGGCAATAAAATTATTCATATTCATAAAAGTGGTGTCGCTTCTATAGCGTCGAAAACTATACCGCCCTGTATCTCTTATTGGTACGATGCTCAAAACTTCTTGAAAAAATTTTATCCAAACATCTCTTAAAATTCATTAACGATCACGATGTTTTGTATCAGTATTGGCGACGAGCGCGACCGAAAGCGTCGCTGTGGTCGGCCTTCCACGATTGGCCGAACGCTGACTTATGACGTCGGAAAGGGTATATCATCGACGGAAATAAGAGGAATGAAAGAACTTTAGTTTTGACGGTGTTGGCAGTGTTCCTTTGAGAGCGCAATGATTTCAGGCTTCCACCATGCTATTTACAAACACCATCGAACTTGTTGTTTGCAAGGTAATGACGTCACAAGGGGGAGCCGTAGGAGGGCGCCACCATAACTTCTCGCCGCTAATACCATCACGGATTCCCGTAAATGTTTTTTTACAACAAACCAACTCATCGAAAACGGTGCATGATCTTTCCGAAAGTCTAAATAACCGTGGTCAGAGGGACATAATATTTTTGGACTTCACAAAAGCGTTTGATAAAGTGTCTCGTCCCATATTATTATAATTGAAGGAATGAAACGATAACAAACTGGTTTCATTCCTACTTTTTTTCGTCGAGTTTGGAGGTTGCGTGGCTGCGTGTCTAGAGTCGCCCCTGTTGCCTCAGAAAGGTCCGCTTTTGTTTTTAATATTTATTGATGACATCCGCGCTGAAATATCAATCCCAATGAAATTATTTGCTGATGATTGTATATTGCATAATAAAATATAAAATGCACAAGGCCAAATTATACTAAACAAAAATCTACTTAAAATCAAACATTGGTGCGACGAACGGCAAATGTCAAACTCTAAAATTGGTCTTCATGTCAATAACAAGAAAAAAGCAAATTCGAAATTTTGATTACTTCATAATAATATCAACCTACATCGTGCAGTTGAAAATAAGTATTTGGTATTGAGCTTCGCGAGCGATTTGCGATGGAATACTCACGTAGAAAATGCATCCACGAAAGAAAACCAGGTGCTTGCTATTATAAAGAAGTTTCGCAGGTGCGACGCCTGAAGCAAAAATCTTAGCCTACAAAACTTTGGCGAGACCTATTCTTGAGTACGCAAAAATTATATGGGATCCGTACACATTAACTAACTACTCTAAACTGGATCAAAATCAGCGGCTTGCATCAAGATTACGCTCATTCCCTCGCTGAACTTTGTAAACTTGCCGAAATTCCTGCTATTCAATTGCGAACAAAGCGTGACCGCCTCACGTTCATCTTCTCAATTCTTCGCGGAGTAGTTAAAATCAATAAGGATAATTATTGCGCTACGGTGAAACCACGAGACACCGTCACAGTATGTATACATTCGAGAACCGTCTGTCGAAAATGATTGTTTTAAATTTAGTTTCATTTCGTGAGTGATAAAGGAGTGCAATAAACTTTACAATGACGCCCAAAGTCACGCCCAAATGGGCGTGATATTGTGAAAAAATTTAAAGAGTATAGTGATCGATGATATGTGATTTTTATAATATTGTCGCCTTTTTGCGTTTCTTTTCAAATCCTGATTTCTGTTTGGTCTATATGTGCACGATTGTTTTTCTTTTTTTTTAATATATGTACATATCACCCCTATAACGGCCCATATAGGGCTAACAGTATGAATAAATAAATAAATAAATAAATTCTCAGAAATACTGTCATCAACACGAAGCGGCCGCCTCGGTGTGCCATGCCCTCCAGCCATGTAACCTCGACATTACCACACTCGTGTACATGAATAAGTGGAGTAATGTATGTCATTGCTCATACCCGACTTTTGATGTGTTTAACCAGAACCCACGCACACAATTTGTTTACACCCCTAAGGGTGCTTCTATTTAGTCAAGCAAACACCCTAAGGGTGTTATAACAGCACCCGATGGCAGACTGGAGCAGGATAGCGACCCGGAGGCTAAAACAAAATGCTAGAGATGTTTTCCTGCTTCCTCGAGCTGCGTACGCCTACACATGCAATTTTTACATATGCATATAGAAGCAGCAATCGCAGCCGCTATGATGCACAACCGGGACCTCGTTGACTTCCATTTGAAAGGCAATCATTTTCCCGGGGATCACTTCATGAATAAATAAGGTTGCAAATATGTTGCCTTTTTAGCACTATTGTATTTCAAAATGCAGCACTGTTTCTCGGGTAAAAATCTTTGGTACAGACGACAGTTGAATTTTGTCCTCGTGGTGAACATTTATCACACCCTTTTATACCATATGAAGTCTAGTGGCGTATCCGGGAGTGGGGGGTGGGAAGGGGGTGGGGGGGGGTTTATGGGTTTTTTTTGTTTTCCCCGGAAATTCAGCCGAACCTAAAATGCATGCACTTTGACTTTTTGAGCCCCCCCCCCCCCCCCCCCGAAAAAAAAATTTCTGGTCACGTTCCTGAAATGAAAGGTATTCCATGTCTATAGACTATAAGAAGAAATAGGGTGACTCATCAAGGTTAACAATGGGTGCAAGTCACCGAGGCGCCATTTTAAAACCCGTAAGGGTGTAACATCCTCATTGTGTGGCTCGCGTTCTCAGCAGTTTATTGTTTTAAGTGTCCCCAAAACGCAGCTAGCCATTAACCGAACACACTCACGAGAAACAACAAGCTTATATTTGCGGACCA